ATACTAAGGACACACTGACTTACATTCAATTTAGCGCTCAATCACGCCGCTTAAACGGCAGCAACAAGGGGCAGACAGAAGCGCCAGACAATAGTTTCCTGATTGCACGGACATGGACAGCTTTAAGGAAATGACGAGCCAGATGGATGGACCGCCGCCCACGCGAAAGGACACACATTCGGGCTCGGATTAATAGTACTTTTGTCGGTGAATTTAAAAGCAAAGTTTGTTTAGAGTTTCAGTAATTCAGTTTCTCATGACATGATTGATATGTGTACTTCTCCAAATTAATCTTATAATGAAACGCCTTACATTTTTTGATTGATTTTTTTTTAATGTTTAGAAATTTTTAATTGTAAGTGAACTGTGATGCACTCTAAATTTCAAGCTTTTAAATTGTAAAAAGGTACGTTTCAAAATAAAAATGATTTATTTTGTGTAATTTGTAAAACATAAAATTTAATTGTAAACAGGTCCTAGAAGAGGTCATTATATTACTTATTCTTGGTAAACTTTAAGCAATCTAAAATGCCAAAAGCTTTTAAAAATATAGTTACTTTATAGATTTTTATGTCGGGAACAAGTACTTTAAACACTTTTTAGTCTCAGCATTATTATTATTCTGGTTAGCCTGTGGATACGTGGTCGTTGGAGATTTTGAAGGGAAACTTCAAATTGTCGAGAAAGCCAATTGACAGGACAAAAGGCAAAATGATTTTGTGCAAAGCGATTTCATAAAACTTTGAAGGCAGCCAGACAACAATTTAGTGCTAGTGCATCTTGGGGGGCTTACAAAGAGGGGCGGCTAAAAAGGGGGGCCTGGTCGGAAGGGGAGGAAACGACCCCCCCGGGAGATTTGTGCCAGTAATCGGCTTAAATGACGATTCAAGTGACTTCCAACCCATGGGGATGCTCCTGGAAATTTCGAAACGACAAGAAACAGGACACCTGTGGCAGTGAAAGAAAAGTTTTGGGGCTTTCGTAGACCTTTTCTCTTCTGCAAACCCACCTTTGAAGTTTTTGGAAATCGCAGGGTGAGACTAAACCAATTTTAATTGCGAAAATCGATGGCTCGTTTATCTCTTTCTCTCTTAAAAACCTTGAAAACCACAAGCTGCTTAAAAAAATTTCTCAAATTCCAGCTCAATGGAAATTAATACAAGTTGGCCGTTAGATAAGAGGATTTAGTGGGAAAAACCGGGAGGAGGAGATACTACTAACCATGACCTTCGGCAGTTTGCATTCATGCGCAATTATTGGTTCTCGCATAATTAATGCGCATTTGAAAGAAACCCGAGTCCAAGTAAACAACAATAGAACCTGGCCAAGACATGACAGACACGTCCGATTCGAGAATAATTGGGATTATACTCAATTGCATTGATCGAGTTCCAATTAGAGGCAGACAATTGAATTCGTGGGAACTGAGATGGAAATTTAAGAAAATAGTCAACGGTGCATTTTCCACTTAATCAGATTACCGGAAGTCGTTAAGTGCCTACATTGTTATCCATTACTCATTTGTTAGGCATTAGGTATTTGTTTTAATTCAAGTAAATTTAATATTTTTAGTCCTTAAACTAGGATATTGTCAATTGGATAGCATCAATTCCAGGAACCGAGTTTAATTTAAAATACATTACAGATATTCAGAAACATACAATAAAGTTAAAATAGTTTGTAAGCTAAACATAAAAGCAGTAAATATAAGCCCAAATAAACAAACAATTTAACATAAAATTTCAATTTGTACCGCATATTAGTTATTTAAATTTATAATTCCAAAAACTAAAACAAACAGAGATCAAAACAAATTTTCAAGAAACACAAAATGCCTCGCAGACTTTAGAAACCATTAGGTGCACTTGCCAAAAACATTACTTTATATTTTATTTGTATATTTATTTGTACAGAATAAAATTCAACACACTTCCCTGAATTCCCACCTCATTTCCTATGCCGTTTCAAGGAATGTTTCAAACAGATTATCCAATTAAAAGGCAACCGAAATTCCCAAATCCTCTCAACGCCACAAAAACCAACGAAAGTTGGGCCAAAACATTTTCCGCTACACTTAAATTATTAAATGCCAAACGAGAGTCAGTCTGCCCTAATTGTTTTCATTTATTTTTAAACTCGCGCAGGACCTTGTCAAATTACCCAGACACCGCAGAACAGCAACACACACAAACCCACACACACACACACAGTCGCGCAGGATGGGCAAAGGATTTTAAAGCGCCAAAAATAGCAACTGAAAAGGGCTGCATTTTGAATGCAGGTGCTTACAAAATGTTTGCATAAGTCTACAAAATGTAACAAATGTTTAATGAGCGCGCCACAAAAAGTCAAATTCAAATTCAAAAGCACTTCACTTTTTACTTGGCTCGGAGTTTCGCGACGAATTTTATTTAATTTTTTGGCTGAGACTGAAGCAGCTGGCGCAGCTTTCCACCTGGCTGGGAAATTCGGAAAAGCTGCGAGGGATGCGCGTGCGATGCTTATCGAGGCGTCAGTGTTCAGACCCACAGCTAGACTGACTGGCGGACCCAGGAGAACTCGCATCTCGCATCTGGCATCACTCCCTTATCCCTCGCAGCAGCCGAGTCCTTCGGCTCCGCTTCGATTTGAGTTCGAGTTGCAGTTCGTGCGGCTTCGGTTTTTTCGGCTTTGGCTTTGGCTTTGAATCAGCAAGAGCAGCAGCCCTGGCCTAGAAACGTGGAAGGTGGCGCAGGGGATGGGTGGGGTTCGGGGTCTCACGGCTCAGGTGTCTGTCCATAGGGTGCACCGATTTGTTGCCAGAATATTCCCCTATCTGCATCCCAAATTTCATATCCATAGCATGATTGGTTCAAAAGTTACACATTGTTGTTCAATAAGAAAAATATTTGGGTTTTTGAAATATTTAAACATTTATATCTAGAAATGGATCATAGAGGAGGTTCTCTAGACTTAGAAATGTTCTCTTTACTATCTTGGGAATAGCTAAGGGTTCGAATTAGTAGCTTTGGAATACAAAAATATATTTTTTATGGATCAAATAGATATCATTAAATCAAGATATTTGAATCAGTTTATAAGTAAATCTTTAACATCTTTTAATATTAAATTTTAGTTTAGCATAATTTTAAAGATTACGGTGTATTAAAAACCATTTTTTTAACAAGGACTTGCAATGTTATCTATTTATATTATTTAGGAATATAAAAAAACCTTTGATCTCAAATAAAAAAGTGTAAAAATTCGAATTCTTTAGTATTTCAACATTAGGGGTAGGATATGTTTAAGGAACAGACTTAAGGACTTATCCAAAATTTTTGCAAATTTAAATACTCTTTATAATTTTAGAGCTTTCTCTCTTCTGGACCCACCCTAGTGAAATGCCCCGGAGTCGAGCACGCGCCAAGTTGTGCATTATGGAAAATGGGGAAAAGCGGGCTAGCAAGAGGAAAAGCAGCAGCATCCAAGGCAACTGAAAACCGTTGCACTTGAACTTCACTGGCGGCCATTGCGGTGGTCGTCTGTCTGCCTGTGTGGGTGTGTTTGGTTCTTAGTGTCTGTGTTTCTGGCTTTGCCACAATGTCTGTGTGTGTGGTGAGTGAAAGTGAAAGGCAACAGCAACAGGTCGCGTGTGTGTGTGAGTGGGTGAGTGCTGCACACACTCACACTCGCCTTTCCATTTCCAGCCAGCCATCAATGTCAACATCAACAACGTGTAAAAGGTCGAACGCAGCGATTTATATTTATCCTGCGGGAAAAAATCAATTTGGGGGATTTCAACATGCCCGCCAAAAATAGAAAATCTCCGGCGATTACCCAACAATATGTTGCCTATTTAGCGGGGCAACAAAGGTGCACGGTGAGAAAGGTATTTCACTTGTTTTAGCAAGGTATTCATTTTAAATTCGTTATTATATTTATTTATATGTGTTTAATTTGAGTCATTTGATTGTTAATATTACAAGGGGAAATATTTTTAAATTAACCTTAAAAAATCATTTTGATAACTGGATGGATATTCTTACGGAAAAATAGTTGAAGATTCATATTGGTTGTTCTTCTAAATTTTTTATTAAATACAGAAGTTCCGACTATCATTTCAATATTAAATTGAACTTAAGGCATTAATTAATTCATATTATTAAGTCAAGTTAAATTAAGTTCATTAAGTTCCTCTACTTTTTCTCTCAGTGTCAAGGCGAAGACTTGTATTACCAAAATGTACTGGGCAGCTGTTCCCCAATTACACACACAGCAAGCTAATGCACACAGACGTACTCCAACTCCTACTACATAAGCGAACCCATTCGAATGTGCGTCAGTACATGGGCGGGGGTCACAGGGGGGTTTCGGATCAGGACTAAGGCGTGGCAGGCGGAGGCGGGGTCAGGCTACTGTGCGGGTTTCATGCAGCAGGCAGCGCTACGGATTCGCCCACAATCGCAATACTAAGGCTACGCGAGTTCCGGGACTTTTGGGTTCTGTAACTCGAACCACCATATGTCAGCATATGAAAATGTATTATTTTCTATATTTAAAACAACTTTTTTTGGTATTACACAGAAAGTGTAATTGAAATTGGTTTACAAAACTAACTGTTTAAAATGTGTTTTAAAATTTGAATTGATTTGTAAAAATACTTGATTCATTTTGTAAAATGAAAACAAAGTTACGTTTGTCCTTCAAAATATTGGTATACTTTTTTTTATATCATCTAAAAAGTTACTTATCATTATAATATTAAATGCAAAACATTTAAACGCTAAAAAGTAAAAATCAAAGTTAAGGATTCTTAAAATGAATTTTAAAATGTTCTATTTCTGAATTTAAAGATGAATTGATTAAAGCTAACTGAATTTGAATATGAGTATATGAAAAAAAGAATTCCTATATCTTAAATATATATTTCTTCTAACTTTCATAAGTTGGTTCGAGTTACAGAATACTGACTTTTTTACTTTATTTCGACTTATAGGTGTCGTAATGTCTCCAAAACTCACCGTTAGCGCGATGCCCACTGTGGCGGAGAAGGAGCCCAGCCGGAACTCGCCCGTGTTGTATTTGACCAGGAAGGACGTCTTGCCCACTCCCGAGTCGCCCAGTAGGATCGTTTTGTGGTTGACCGTGTCGTCGAAGGGCTGCTGATGGGCGGTGGGCGGGGCTGGGTGCATGTCCACCTCGTCGTAGCGATACGATCGCCAGCCATCGTTGTAGTCGTCCTCGTAGTCCTCGGCTCCGTATGCATACATCTGCATAGCCTCGCGGGAGGGGCGGTAGCCCGGATATCCGGTGGCTGAGCGCTGAACGGGGGCCATGATGGTGTCGTCGTGGTAGTGATGGCTGCCGGTCAAACTCAGCTGGCTGTGATGGTGGTGCTGGTGGTGTGGATTATGATCATGGTGGTGGTGGTGCTGCGTCGTTGTTGTCGTTATCGAGGCCGAAACAGAGGCGGGTGCTGCGGGGGGATTGTAACAGCCGTCGCCGAAGGGACGACGACGCAACTCCTCGATCCTGGCCTGGGTGGTCTCCGCATCCTCGAAGACGTCGTCGCTCATGCTGCTGGCGTCGTCGGGATGCGCCGATCCAGCTGGCGCTCCTTGTGCCCCTCCTGCGCCTCCTGCCCCTCCCATTCCCACCGCTGTGCTGGCCATTGGTCTTGGTTTATTGGCTTGTGTCTTGGCCAAAAGCTGTGATTGAGCTTGTATCCTGAGCTTTCACTTAAGGCTTGCTCATTGGTCTAGTTTCAAGAAGATTCACTGAGCTTTTACTTTCACTTTCTTATCGTTTTTATTCCCTTATCCTCAGCTTTTCTCTTTAGTAAAGCTACTCTAAGGTTTTTGCGTGACCTATTAAATCTTCTTGAAGTACTATTTCTTCGCTTTCACTTTAACATGTAGCATTTAACAGAAAGATAGCCGAGCCGTTATCCATTTAACCATGTTATCCTTTCTAGTTAAGATTTTGACAATATTCTGATTGTTCTTTAATATTTTTCCTTTCTTGCTCAATGATTTTAACAGTTATGGCTTTGTGACATAAAAGCTCTGGTTAACTGCTTAACCGGAGGTTATCCTTCTAGTTTTGAGCTTATCTCTCCGGCACTTCCTTTGATTTCTCTTTGTGATTTTGACACTTAACGTTGCTTCTCCTAAAAGCTCCTTATAGTTTTGACATTTGTTTTGAGCTTTCTCTCATCGGCATTTCTCCGCTTTCTCTTTATGACTTTGACATTTAACGTTGTCCGTCGCTGCCGCAGTCGACGTAGCTGCCGTCCGGTTGTGTGGCACGTTTTCTGAATGAATTCGCTTTTCGGGGCTTTCGGCGCGTTTGGGGGGTAGTTGCTATTATTATTTCCTATTCGCTATAAGCTTAATATTTTCGCCAGCCTTATCAGTTGGCCAGTTTTCCTAATCGCTATTCGTTAGTTTTGCGTTCCGTACAATTGAACTAGGTATTGGTTTTTCCCCTTTTGTTGGTTGTTGGTTTCTTTTTTTGGTGTTTTGTTTGAAGCCACTAATTAAATGGTATCTATGTAAATTGTAACTAGCTAAACATATTGACTAATATTTTATAGGTTATGCGCTAATTGGTGCTGTTTTCACTATGCATTAAAGACTTATTTATTTATACGGTTTGCAACGATTTGCTTGGTGTTTTTTTTTAGTTTATGATTAAAGCTTTTGGTTAATTTCCCGTTTTTTTTATCGTTTAATGTAATGACTATCCATTGGTTTTGCGGTTCTAGTCAAAAATATTGCGATTGATTTTGGGGGGTTGGGTGTTATGGTTCTTGGTGTTTTTGTTGTTGTTGTTGTTATTTCACTATCACAGCATGAATAAAATAATGTCATCGTCGTTGCCGCCCCCGCCACGCAAACCCTCGGCCAACATACAACTGGTAAAAAATATCTGCAGTCGCCACTTCCTTTCGACATCCTTTCCGAGCTTTTTGTGGCTCTTGTGCTTTCACTCTCTCACTTTCTCTCTTTATGGAATTGACATTTGAAGAGTTCAAATCGAGGGAACTAGCTCAACTCTAATTCAATTCATTAAACGTATAATTTAATCGAAATATGGAGAAAAGAAACTGTGTCAATTAAGCTTTTGGTATAGGATAAAAGTCGTTAAAAAGCAAATTTAAGTTCAGTCAACATTGGTTGAATTAAATGTAAGCAATTTGTTTATAAATTTTTTAATATTATTTGACTATTTAATTTACAATAATTTATAACTTTATAAATATAAATGGTCAATAAATATGAATTTTTTGTAATCGATACAATTGATAGCATCGAATTTTTGTATAATGTTCTTATCATTAAAAATTTTAAAAACATTTGGAGCTTTCTTTAAAGTCTTCCATAAAAATTTCAAATCCAACTTTGTACAACTTTTTGAATTTATTTTAATTTAAATGAAATTTCACATGGTTCGACTCTGTACTAAGCCCATGAGGCATATGGTTCGTGTCTTAGATATATGTCAAGCTAACAACACTCATGCGCCAGGGCTACCCTAAGACTCGTTCGATAGTATCGATACCATAAAACTTTTGGGAAAACCACAGACTGACGACTGTCGACGTTTTCTCTACGCTTATAAACTAAATTATAAATGATTAAAATAAAATTGAGTTAATTCCATTTATTTAATTCAGTTTAATTTGCTATTCACTAATTTAAGAGAAAATATCGATAGATACCTATTTTTCAGAGTGACCGCTTGGAATATTTTTGAAGAAGTATTTTTATCGGTATAATGTGATACATTGATCCGCGGTCACACTGAACAGAACAGAATTTGTAAAGTAAACCAAACCCGAAGTTAATTGCAAATAACGCGAATAATCAAACGATCCGCGCAGATAATTAATTAAAAATGACTGGTCGTGGCAAGGGGGGCAAGGGGAAGGTGGTGCGCGAGAATGCGACCGACGATCGGGACGATTTTCTCGTGTACGCGGCCGAGAAAATCATCCAAAAGCGCGTTAGAAAGGTGAGCGAGCGTAAACAAATGCGAAAAGGGCGATGAAAACGCGGTGGAAGGCAGGAAATGCAGAACGCAATATGCGCAGCATACGCAGGATATATGTATATTCCGCAAGGTCACATGTCCTTCGACATTTTTTGGCCAGAGGACATCTGCTGCAGCAACCACCATTTGCACGCTGCATGTGTGTGTGTGCGTAGTGCGTGCGCCTGTGTGTGCGTGTGTATGTGTGGCGTGTGTTTTTGTTGTTATTGCGCTTGATGGAAAATCAATTAGTTGTCTAAGAAAATGCAATCATCAACCCCCTGCTTATTTCCTCAATTTTCCAGGGCATCGTGGAGTACCGCGTCAAGTGGAAGGGCTGGAACCAGCGCTACAACACCTGGGAACCGGAGGTAAACATCCTCGATCGCCGCCTGATCGACATCTACGAACAGAGCAACAAATCCTCGGGCACGCCCTCCAAGCGAGGCCTCAAGAAGAAGGAGAAGGAGCCCGATCCGGAGCCGGAATCCGAGGAGGATGAGTACACCTTTACCGGCGATGATGTGGACACCAACCGGGCCACCACTTCTGCGGCCGGGCAGGATCAGGAGGGCAAGAAGGAGAAGAAGCACCATCATCACCACCACCATCATCACCACATCAAGTCCGAGCGCAGCATTGGACGTCGCTCGGAATCCCCGCTGACGCACCATCATCACCATCACCACCACGATTCCAAGCGGCAGCGCATGGATCACAGCTCCTCCTCGAACAGCAGCTCCACGCACAACTCCTTTGTCCCCGAGGCGGACACCAACTCGTCCAGCTCCGAGGATCAGCCACTGATTGGCACCAAGCGCAAGGCCGAAGTGCTTAAGGAGTCGGGCAAGATCGGAGTGACGATCAAGACCTCGCCAGATGGCCCCACACTAAAGCCTCAGCCGGCACAGCAGTTAACGCCCATCCAGCAGCAGCAACAGCCTTCACAGGATCAGCAGCAGGCGGAGAAGGTGGCCAACGAGGCAGCCACGCCGCTAAAGTCCGAGCTGCAGGTCACCCCGCTAGCCATTGACGCCACAACGGCCACACCCGCTGAATCCGGAGCAGAGGAAGAGGAGGTAGCCAGCGAGGAGGGCAACCAGCAGACGCCACAGGTTCCGCCCGAGAACAACAACATACCAAAGCCGTGCAACAACCTGGCCCTCAACCAGAAGCAGCCGCTTACTCCTCTTTCGCCGCGCGCCCTGCCGCCACGCTTCTGGCTGCCGGCCAAGTGCAACATATCCAACCGCGTGGTCATCACCGATGTAACCGTCAACCTGGAGACCGTCACAATACGCGAGTGCAAAACGGAGCGGGGTTTTTTTCGGGAGCGCGACATGAAGGGCGACTCGTCGCCAGTAGCCTGAGCTGCGGCCCAAACAAAACCCGGAAAATCGAAACGGAAACCTGAAACAATTGTAAATAGACAAACCAAAATGGGGGAAAGTTGAGTGGAGCACTAACAAATCGACACTAGATGTTGCTAAGCATTTTCTCTTTAGAACGTAACTTATTTATTGTATTTATTTTTAGCGTAGTTATTAGATTGTTGTTTTATTACAATGTTTGAAGTGCAAGAGTAGCTTGGGCAATCGCAAATCGCTCATTTACTAAAATTTTTATTATTGATTTTAATTATTTTGCCTAATATTTTACACTCAATTTTATTCATTTATTTTTAGAACTGCAATATTTTTCCGCCTAAATTAGGATCTCTATTGTTTACTGTCCCTTCTGCAATATCGCTTTTTTGAGCTCTACCTATATTTTAGTGAATGAACGAAATGCTGCGACTGCTTAACTTGCCACTGCATTAGATTGTAAAACCTGCAGCATAGATATGTATGTCGTACATATATTTATTTACCACATATTGTATATTTTTCTACAACACTTTGAATCTGATTGAGAACAACACAAGACACTCATATGCTACAAAACTCCATGCGAAACCGAAGCAATTGTTGAATACGCTTGATATACAATTATATACAAATGAAGAAGTATATATTCGAGTATGTCACCAAGTTGGCTATCCCAATGTTGTAATTGTTTAAAATTATATTTCCTCGCGCCGACTGATTTTACAAAAGAAACCCCCAAAAAAATATATATGTAGTTTGGAAAATATTTTTAGAATTTAGCTAACCACAATCTCCACTTAATATTTATTTTAAAATGTTCTACTTTTAGCAGTCATCCGAGGCTCAAGTGCTGACTTTATGGGTTCCGAACGGTGCAGTGCACAGATTATTCCAAATCGAGCCCATAGACTCAATACTTAACTCCTATGATTATTACACTATTTTTTACCGCTTTGCAAATGTAATCTTCGTGGGAGCTGTGGGGAATCCTCAAGCTCTTGTTCATTTCTCACGGTTCCTGTGAGGTGAGTTCCATTTGTGTTAGCTTTTTATTGGCTAGTTTTAGTTACGGCGCTAATTCCACACAAAAAAACAAATTAACTCAAAATGTGTATTTTGAAGTTTGTAATGTAGTGTTTAACTTTAATGTTATTGCCGGTATCGATTGTACATAATAAATTAAATAGAAGCAACCAAATGTGCTTTGTTTGGGTATTTTCTACTGTTGAGATTGATTTGCGTCTAATATCCAGTCAATATCATCAATCTTCGTCAGGGGGAAATTTATCACTAGGAGTAGTCTACCAATCATCTAGTTTGTACAATGCCTAAATGTCAAGGTCGATGGAAAGCCGATCTCATAAGGGCCGATACTTGTTGATAAATGAGTTAATGATGGGCGCCACCTTTTCCGGCTCATTAAGGTGCACATGGTGGGTTCCTTCAACCTCGTGGAACTCGAACAGGGGATTCTTTTGCAGCTCCGCCAATACTTCGTCAAAGTACTCCTTGCGCTCGTAGTAAGGAGCCTGCAGGGCCTTGATAAACAGATGCGGGCACTTGATCCTGCGCGCCATCTCCATGGGAACCTCCTGGTGCAGCGTGTAGAATAGCGAAGACTTAAGTCGGTTGTCGCGTGAGAAGTAATACTTGTGCGGCTCGTGCGTCGAGGGTCTGCAGTTCCGTTGCAGTAGATACTTGCAGGCATCCAGAGATACGGATTTGTTTGAGCCCTCGTGCAGCCGAGTCACCAACTGATCCCATTCGTAGGAGGGTGGCTCTGAGCCACTCTTAAGGCGGCGTTCCAGCTTCAAGGTGGACTCAATTCGTTCGGCCAGCGCATCCACAATACTGCGGGAACTCCGAACGGGCGGTTTAAGTACATCCAGGCCCACAAACAGATCCACTTTATCGGGAAACAGAGCACTGAACACAAAGCCATTGATGGAGCTCATCGAGTGGGCCAGTATGGAGATCTTGTCCCAGTTGTACTCGTCCATAAGGCGTCGAGTGATCAGCACAAGGTCGATGGAGTGGTAGGAAGAGCCAGCTGGCAGCCACGAGGAGAGTCCATGTCCCGGGGCATCGATTGAAAGGAAGGAGAGATGCGATGGCAGGAGCGGAGCCAAAGTATCGAAGGTCCCGGCATTGTCCTGCCAGCCGTGCATGCCCACAATGGGCCGCACGTGCTTGGGTCCATACCATTTTCCCGCTAAGTGTCCCCATGGAACGGGTATGCTGATTTCGTCGAACTGCCAAGCGAAAGTCGAGGTTATTATGGGCTAAAACCAGAAGGACGGTGGAACCTACATGCTTGGTGACAATCTTCAGGGGTCTGGTGGGTCCACTGCTGGCGTTCCGGACATTTGGGAGCAGCTTTAGAAGGCGTAGACTCTTTGACACCTTCATTTTGACGTAAGATTTGTTTTTTCGTTGGGTAATGCTACGTTCTTCTACCGCGACCTATGCGCGACTAATGTTCTGGCCGTGATTTCACCACACATGGATGACGATAAGGCAGCTCTGGCAGATGAACTTTGTTCTTGGTACGTAATATCTGAGAAAACTATTGTTTAGCAAGGTTTTAACCTGGTCATCATTCGCTGGCGCCTGCTGGCAACCCACAACACTGGTCGAAAACTTGTTGCGTGCGTTTCCCAACACTAAGTTTTCGTTTATGCGTAGAAAGTTCGAGAACTTTGCTAAAGTAAATAAAAAGCAGATCAATTAAGTTATTTTTAATGTAAATTTGTATAATCTGGTTTTGATGCCATCTAGGAAATATGAAGTGACTATAAGTTACAAAAAATGTCATAAGCTAATAGAAAACAAATTTAAACTTCACTATATACTCGCCGCATAAACGTTGCCGCCCATTCTCAAGTTTAATGAACAGCTGTAGATAAGTGTTTATTTTTCGTTTGCTCGCTGTTTTCACCTGTTTGTTGTGCGATTTATTGACAATTAAATACATTTTTAAATAAAGATAGTATCATTAATAGAAGGTGAAACACAAATATAAGTGCAACCTAATGCTTAAAGGCACGACAAGAAGGAAACGTGAGCTATGATTCGCCAAGGAGATCACCTTGACCTTTGAAACCTTTATTGAGGCGCCGGCATCGATTCGGATATTATAATAAATTTATATATTTTTCACGATTTCTCTTTAATGTTTACTTTCGGATTTTCTATGTACATATCTTCGCCTTTGTTAACTAATCGCCCTGCTAATCTCCACAGGTCGCTACTGATAAGCACCGAAATTAGCTAAACTTTGGAATCGGAGCTCATTCGGTTTTCAAGCAGAAATGGACTCGGACGACAACTCAAGTGGCACAACCGGTAGTGATCTGGGCCAGCGCTATCGACATGCAGGGGACTTAACTGGCGAAGCCCCAACTAGACCCGTAAGTGTACTTTGAACCACTCCGCTGCAACTCTTATTGCAAGGGGGTTAAATACTGTAGTTCCAGGAAACTTGCAAAGTAATTTAACAGATGGTACTCTTTAAATAGATACATATATGATTTTTATCAACATTGACCATTACCTTTAAAAACAAGCGAACCTGCTGTTTTTATTTTGATAAAGACTCCTTAAAGTTTATGAAGAACCATCGTCCAACATCTAAAGTAGAAAAACTATAAGATTGCTCTTTGTACGATCACTAAAGTAAAGATACACTTAGATTTCACAGTTTCCCTTAATAAATTTCGAGTCTCACAAGATTCTCTATCTTTTTAGTTCTCAGAGATCAGCATTACGGTTCCGTGGGGACATATATCTGGCAAATGGTACGGCCCACAAAATGTCCAACCGATTCTGGGTCTTCACGGCTGGCAGGACAACGCGGGCACCTTCGATCGACTGGTGCCGCTGCTTTGGCCGGACGTGGCCTTTCTCGCCATCGATCTTCCTGGCCACGGGTTATCCTCCCGACTGCCCGATGGTTGCTACTACAACTCAGTGGATAATCTATATGTTATCCGGCTGATAATGAAGCAGTACAAGTGGGAGAAGGTTTCCCTTGTTGGACACTCCATGTCGTCGATTATATGCTTTGTGTTCGCCGCTGTCTTTCCAGACAAAGTGGATATGATTATTGGCATTGATGCCCTGAAGCCCCATCAGCGTCCGTATCCCTCTGTTATAAGGACCATGGAGACTCGACTGGATGAGTTCCTGCGCGAGGACGAGAGGAATCGGAGCAAGAACGAGCCGCCGAGCTACACCTACGAGGAACTTATCGAAAGGGTGTACATCGGCACCTTCCATTCGGTGAACAAGGAGCATTGCAAGCATTTGATGGCCCGCAACATTGGCAAGTCGGAGAAGTACCCGGACAAGTACTTCTTCTGCCGCGATCGGCGCCTCAAGTTCTACAACTATGCAATTGGCTCCCAGGAGCTGTGCGTGGAGATGGCCAATCGGATCACATGTCCTTACTTGTTCATCAAGGCCGCCCAGTCCTCTTATTTCGAGGACAAGAAGTACTACGACGAGGTGCTGGATGTGCTGGTGAAGAAGTCCAACTTCGAGTACCTAGAGGTTAATGGCTCGCACCATGTGCACATAAACGACCCGGAGGCCATTATCGCACCGGTCAACAACTTTATCCAGCGCTTCGGACCGGCGGCCGTGGCTGCATCCCGCCAGAAAGCCAAGGAGGCGAAGGAGAGCAAGCTCTAGACGGTACATACAATGGTAAATGGAGCTTATTTATTGTGCACATATTGCACAGGTTTTTATACTTAATTGTTGATTATGTGATCGCGGCAACCGAGGACTCGGCTCTGCTATAAATACACAATGTACATATGCCGAGAGGTTGTTCGACTCCGATTAATGGGGAAGTCGTGAAGGATACCGGGAAACTGGTTATGCGTACAACTTAACCCTTTTGGAAGCGCGTTTAGTATGGATTTCAAAACATATTTTTGACAAACTGGGAAGAAATCACTTTAGATGGTCATTAATTCTCCATCAAGAAACAAATACATATACATATATAGGTGAAAAAAAAAAACAATTTCATATCCTTCAAAAGTTATTAGCTTTGAGATAATTGTTCTAAGAAACTGTGTTAATTGTACTGTAACGATTTCTTTATGATTGACTGAGATTGGGCTTACATTTTTCAGTCCCCATCAACAAAAGGAACTTGTCTTTCAATAGTAGTTGAGTAGTTGACCTACATCTTCCCCAAGTAGAATCCCAGCAGCGAAAGTGTTAATAACCCGCAAACCAGTTTCCGAAATCCCAGCCGGCTGTTGCATCATTTTCTAGACTCTTTCTTGGCAACATCATCGTTTTCTGTTGTCGGCCCGCTCTGGAGGTCAGCCTCAGTCGAATTTACATGGAAATGATTTTTTAAAAGATATATTTTTAAAAATAACTAAACTGAGGCAACAGGGAAAAGAAGACAAGTAAGTTGATGGCCCTGCGGCTTCCACATTCGTCTGCACTCGTGTTGCTTCTGCTGAGTTTTTTCTTTTGCCTTGGTCAGTTCCTGGGTCTGGTTCGCAGTGTGATAAATGATCTTGGACAGCCGCTTAATTTGTCTTAAAATGGTAACACATTCAACATGCAAGAAGTATTGATTTAATTTAGAAAAACACCTAAAAACAAGATGGATTTGTGTTCCTGAATCAGATGCTATTTTGATGAATGAACTGATAAGGAACCATAGTTTTTAAGACATAAAGATTGACTTTGAAAAGTAAGACATTCGGAGATAATCTGACAGCGTTTTTAATTTCATTCATTAGCGTCTTTGAATTTAAACCCGCATCTAAAAATAATTATAGCTTGACTGTGTGACGCTTCAAAAACATATAAAATAATATAAATTTTATGCAACTTGGGGGTTAATATTATGAATTCAAATGAGACGGCGGGACTTTCAAGCTGCAATCTAGTACACCGCATTTTTTGCCGATTTCCATAATTAAAACCAACTTAGCTCTGTTCAAATGATCAGCATGGCTGTGGGTATATTTGATGGAATTTTTCAAAGTATTATTTGTTTTTTTTGTTTTGTTTTATGGGTTTATGTACAGACTTGTTAGAACTAGGTATAACTCATTTTAGCAAAAGCACTGACTAGGCTTTAAATGGGGTATCCAATTCGGAATTAACGTTGTTGTGGTGGGTGGGCGGCAATGTATTCCAGGGCGCGGAGGATGGCCTCTGGGATTGGAGGAGGGGTGGGAAGGTGAGCGCCCTGGGGCTGGAATCCGTTCTCGTCGGCGATGTAGGTCAGCGAGATGGGAATGCCTTCGGGGGAGATGTAGTTGCTGTTTCCGGTGGCACCATTGCTGTTGCCGGATTCCTGGGCCTGGATGCCATTGCTGGTCTCGAAGGCATAGTTGTAGTTGCCCTCGGGATCGGCAGGGTCGACGTCCTGGCGGGTGATCACGGCATCCTTGTTGATGTTATCCGCATGGACATTGGCCAGCATCAGGGCGGCGAGGAGGCAGAGCGTCTGAAACGGTTACACGATCACGATCTGGATCCTTCCGGGCTGACAAAGTCTACTCACTAGCTTGAACATCTTGCTGGTTGATGGGTTGGTATATGGTAAAATCCACACTGGTTGGGTGATCTTCGCAGGCGGTGGCTTTTATAGCCAGCCAACGGCAGCGACGACTTTGGCGTTGGCGTCGCCACTGCTGACGTCTCTAATCTGGCTCTGAACTCCAAACAGCCGCTCCAAACTAAATATCAAACTTAATACGTTTGTGTGTTTTTTCGGCAAAGAGCAGCATACCGATCGACTTTAATAAAATTCAGCGCAACCGCTGAAAAACAAAAAAAAAACTAGAAAGGAGGTTTGGCTTTGGTCACCGGATTGCGGAATACCCTCGCCAGATGATGCAATATAGAAGGATTTACCAAGAAGCATGATCATTTTGCCAAACCACATTTAAATTGCTACTTCCTGCAGCATATGAATAACACCAGAAATTATTTTCTTTATGATTGATCGATTTTACGATCCGATTCACGCCATACTTCATATGACATTGTGGTTTTAACTATATACTAAGGATATTATCAATTTTCTTTCTTTATTAGATATAAGTAAAGGAACAAATACTTTTAGTTTAGTTTGGAACAACAGATATTTACGTACATTGTAAGAACTACCTTAATAATATTTTTTAATTTTGTTATTTATGTATGTGGCCTATTTCACACTTTAATTGCTTCCTCCACAAGAATTTTGGATCTGCACTACCTTTAAGAAGCAACAACCAAGAACAAGTCCGTATAAATCTCTAAAGTTAAAAAAGTCCCAACGATCTATCGATTGATGATATCAAACCTTTGATCAAAATTATGAAAATCTTAGCAAGGGTATTGTGAAGCATCTGAACCCATTCCGAGTGGTTGTTGCTGATGGATCAACATCTGCCTTGGCTGCGGTAATCACCAATCTGACTTTGCACTTAATGGCTAATAGTTTCGGTTAGCTTTTGGGGGCTTGGGATTTTCGCAATGGTAATGGCACATGTGACTGTGACATTCGCCCATTGAGGGTTACTTCAGAGACGGACCTGGAATTTGAAGGGGGCAGCAGCCACTCGTGCTCGAGTTAATTTAATTCAATCCAATTTATCATTCGATTCAATTTCGATTTCATTGGCCATTTGGCTTGGGATGAGCGCAGGCGGAGAACCTGTTTACTCATCAAGGAATTCTTAAATTCCTTAAAAATCTCAGCAAGCTGAGCGCATTAGCATACAAATTTGCTGTACAGTAATAAATTGCCTAGGCCTAAACGCACTTATCACTATGGCTAATAAAATGCCCATTAATCGTCGCTCCACCTGATCTGACAAACTAGTTCAGCCGGCCTATCTGTATCCAAGCCCTAACCATGTTCCATGTCGAATTTGTCAGAAGGCTACATTCACTAAAATTTGAATTGTTAAGTTGCCAGAAATTTAAATATGCAAATTCACAGAAAAATATAAACAAATTGGGAATACGATTACCTTTGTATACATAGATGCTTTTGCAAAGTCACTGGACTTTATACAGCAGTTTTATAACGGTCTCTAGACAACTTTTTAATCAAGTTTTGCGTATGGTTCCTTTTATTTTTAAAATCTAAAATTGGACTCTTGGACTCGTTGAAATATGATACAACTTGTTTCCATTTATAGATGCAGTTGGGACTGCATTTTAATGTTCTAAAAAAAAATTTCACATTTTATCCCACGGTTTCCGTATATAATCCGTACTTATCCACATGGTATATCACCCGTATATGTCCTCCATCGGGTAGGCTGAATACAATGTATCCAGGTATCGTTTCTTTGATCAGAATATTTTCCTCTGGGATGATGACATTCTTGATATTGGTCTCAGTTTGGAAATGGTTTTTGGAAATCGGCAGTGGCTCAACATCCAGACAAATCACAACAAGAAGGAAAATCCAACGTAAAGACCTATGGATTATCCCAATAAATTAATATGTTTCTACAACGATGCCCTTTCTCTACCTGAGTTGGGAAAAATATAACATTTTCTGACGTCTAGTTCCTGGAGTCATTTGTGTAGCAAGAGATTCTTAAAAAAGGCCTATAAATGGGTATGAACTACATTTTAAAAACCAGTGCATACAGGTTTTTGCAAACTTCCTTGTTGATCGAAATTATTCTCGACAATTAACACAAATTTCCTATGATATTTGATACGCCAACGAAAACAAATATCTCGTGATCCGCACATGAGGTATAAATAAATTTGTTTAAACTTATCGCTTAGTCCGTTGGCAATTAATCAATTCGCCAAACATCAAAGTGAACCATTAATTAAAGTCATAAATGTAGGGTATCAGAAGATCACACATTGGATTCGTTTAGCTGGACGATCTTCGGCGGCGCTCCGGGTGACATGCTGCCAGGTGACCTTGTCCACACATATCTCCGATCCGATTTCAACAGCTTTCCAGGGGCACAGGGCATTCCGCACCTGCCACTCCATTTGGAAGCCATTTCGAGCCCAGGGCGCATCTCCAATTGAAAGATGTAACAAGAAATCTTCGATTCGTGGGGGGAATTTCCAACGGTTTGTGAATGAGCCGAGACCGCATTAAACAGCAGTTTTTATTTGTTTGTAATTTAACATTTAGTGGTATCTCGTGCGAAACCGAAACCACCGAAACTGAAACCGAATTAAAGCATACAATATAAATTGTTGGCAAATGACTCATGTATTTTAACTATAGTTCAGCTGAGCATTGTTGTTATTGTTACTGTTCCCATTATTGGAGGTATGATAAGACAAGTTTTTGGCAATTATAGCCACCTCTCGGGTCCTCGGGTTCCGAAAAACCCGTTTAGATTGCCTGCAACTAAAGACAAGGGTCTCATCTCATTCATATAAAAGACGCACTTGAGCTGATCGAATTAAACAGTTGCACTGCAAGCAGCATCATCACAGCATCAGCTTTTAAGAAACCCAACGAAATCCCCAACAAGATGTACAAATATGTAAGTGGAAGGACTTGCTCCTCATTCTCCGGGTGATCCCTGCTGACTTTCGTGTTATTTTCGCAAAGCTTTTCTGTCTGGCACTCATCGGCTGCGCCTGCGCCGACAATATCAACAAGGATGCCCAGATCCGTAGCTTCCAGAACGATGCCACCGACGCCGAGGGAAACTATCAGTTCGCCTACGAGACCAGCAATGGCATCCAGGTCCAGGAGGCGGGCAATCCCAACGGCGCCCGCGGTGCCGTGGCCTATGTGTCGCCCGAGGGCGAGCACATTTCGCTGACCTACACGGCCGACGAGGAGGGCTACCATCCGGTGGGCGACCACCTGCCCACTCCGCCCCCCGTTCCAGCCTACATCCTGCGCGCCCTGGAATACATCCGCACCCATCCCCCGGCGCCCGCCCAGAAGGATCAGCAGTAATCCGGAGCAGCAACAGCTGTCCAATGCCAGCAAGACGAGATCAAAAACTGCAGCCAGTCATTGTTATTTAGGGACGTTATTCCAATAGTTATCGTTAATAAAGAACGTCGGTACAGATAAATTGCATTGTATCTATTAAATTGGGAAAGGAGAAGGTGCCAGAGACCCGCTCTTTAGTTGTACCATCTAAAGACATTTTGGATATTCAAATCATTTTTACTAATCTAAAAAAATAAAAGAAAACGATTTAAGATTACGAATTTTTTATTTTTATATATTTTAGAAATATGAAAAATAATGAATGATAGGCTTGTTAGTTAACGTTCATAAAAAAAATGTTTACAAGTCCGCCTTCGAGGGCAGCTTCGATATTTTGAATATTGAGATAGATACATTTCTTATATTTCTTAACCTTATTCTTATTTAACTACGCCTGAAAACATCAAGCATTCATTTTTTTTAAATTCCATTACAATATTTAGTGCACACCAAAAAGAGCCTTTAGCTCTGACATTTCAACAGAGCCCGACTGTTTGAAGTGCAGTAATTTTCCAAAGACGTAAATCAAGGTCCCGGAACTTTCGCTCAACGGTATTAAACCTGCTATAGCCTAAAAATTAAAAAAATATTAAGAAACTATTGATGGTTTTTAAAGCTTCTTGAACTCACCGAAAGCAAAACATCTCCAGTATTTGAAACAACACGCAAGTCCACACAAGTATCGAGTACCAAATTTATAGCTGGAACAGTAAGGAATTTATCTGCAACTTGTAATTGGAGCAACAATTGTTTTGCATTGGTCAGCAATTTAATGCTGGTCCTTCCACTAGCTTCTACCTTGTATTTTTCGACTTGGTGAAAGTAGTTATTCATGTATGAATAAAGGACAGAATCGTTGGAGAAGTTAAACACGAGTTGAAACTTATAAGTTATTGTCGGATTTTCCTCCAACCCATCCTTCCCATATTCCTTGACAACAATCTCAAATTTTGATGCATGTGATTTAAGGAAGTAAGCCGATATATTATACATTTTTCCGCTCTTACAAGTGGAAATGTGCATCCTGTCAACAGCTCTGTACAAATCCAAATAGAACAGATTGAGCAGTCTTTCCCCGCTCACATATCCATTCTGAACGACTGGATGATTTACAACCGCCTTAAGATTAAACAATCTGCATCTTGGATCGGGATGAACGAAAACTTTCTGAGGTTCTATCCCAAATGGAATGTCAATCCACAAAATCGGAACATGCGTTTTGGGATATGGTTTAAAGTTGAACATATCTAGTTAGGGAAATTTTTAAATTAGCAATAGTAATATAACAAATATCTTTAACATCTTAAAATCTATTTTATATACATATGTATTTAAGTGCTTCTAGGGAATGTAAAATCCTTTAAATTCTTTATCAAAACTGATAATTATGGTATCAAGTATATCGAAAATATAAAACAAACTGTTATATCGTAATACTTTTTTCCTTATGTATATGCAGAAAATAATTCTCTTGTTTGGGGGATCGAATGGATCAACGCCTTTTGATGAGTGTTTGGAGTAAACAGACTGAATAAGCGCTGACAAACAAAACTTGAAACCACATCAGTTTTGCCGATTTTTTTTTCTAAGAAATATGACTTACATGTTTGATCCCATTTATAAACTGAGCCCTTGAAAATAGAATTTATGTTGATGAGCTCATCATTTATTTTCTGGGATATTTCGGCTGCATCTTGCATATATGATTGCTGCTCAGGTTTAATGGATTTTGATAGATTTTCCACTAGCATTTCAAGTGCCTCGTTTAAGTCAATAGACATTTTTAACTTTTAGTCCGCCTTTGTCTTGATTCGGGGAACTACACAATTAAATGGTCATTTTTTCAGCTATCGTACTATTCTCTGAAATTAGAGATGGACTTTCCTGTTCTTTAAGAGATTATCGCTATCGAAATCACAGTCACTTGATTCGGCGGTAAAGCTTATATAAATAAATAAATAAATAACCTTATATAAATAAAGTTTTAGTTATTTGTGGTGATATAAATGGTATTGATATTACAGAATGCTGCAGAACGCTGAGATCTCGGAAACTAAAAAGTTATACAGATTCTAGGGGTTCTGAAGCAGCACATTTTTTTTCAGCGGAGCGTCACACCCACTCTAACGCCCAAATCTGCCTGTCGACCACAATCTTGAAGAATTTTTTTCAGTGTCTATAGAAATTTGTAGATGTTTTTTGAGAGTTTAAACAGAGAACGACACTTCTTTTCTTATTGTTTTTATTCAAAATTAAATATAAATTAAATGTCCTGTTTATATGCATGCAATACTTCTTTATTTAAAGATTCTTTGCTTCGATCATTAGTATATGTAAATAAAAAAGATAATAGGACAGATATTCTTTTGTCATCCTGTATTCCTTTTGGTAACGAAGAACATATTAATGTTCGCTTCCTTAACGACCAATTGTGCCATTAATATTAGAGAAATGCAAAAAGTTCCTTTAACTCTGGCATTTCAACGGAGTCTGATTGCTTAAACTGCAACAATTTTTCATAAACACATATCAAGGGTCCTGGATTATTTGCGATTGTAATGGTCATACCTAGAACCTGAAAACGATTTATGTACGTGTTATATAAAAAGTTAAAATGTTTGCACTCCGGGAAAACACTCACCTCAAGCAAAATATCACCGGCATTACCACCTGGAGACAAGGAAGTCGGTCCGAGTATTTGACCAATATTTATGGACGATGGAAGATATTTACATATCTTTAATTGCAGCCACAAAAAATGCAATATTTGCCATTTGGTTACCATTTTTTTTGCTCGCTCAGAAACCTTTTCACGAAGGAAGAAATTGTTGATTTTGGCATATCTGACAGAATCGTCAGAGAAACTAAACACTGGAAAGAAATCATACCAAATCCTTATTTCATCATGCTTAGCGTCATAAACATCAATTGCAAATGTGTCTTCATTATCTGTGACCATATTGTAACAGAGCTTGTAAGATTTTCCACTTTTACAAGTGACCTTAGAAATCCGCTCAATAACTCTGTACAAATCCAAACGGAATAGGTTGACTAGCACTTCACCGATCACATGTCCATTACGAACTGCAGGATGATGTACAGATGTCTTTAAATTGAAGACATTGCGATCATCACGACCGGGAATGTGCACTTCCTGTGGCTCTACCTTAAATGGCATTTTAAGAAAAAGAAGCCAATTCATTTTCGGAATAGGAATATCGGTGAGGAAATCTGTAAAAACGTATTAAAACATTTTATAAGATATTTTAAAGGTTTATCAATTTGTAGCCACACTCAACAACAATACATTTTATTCACATCAACTATTATTTATTTTTAAAGCAAGGTCCATAGTACAAATACTATTTTCGGTAAGACTCACTCTCTTATGAACAAAAATTTAATTTTAAATGCCAAATTGGCAGTTCTTAGAATGATAAAATGATATATTTAATTAAGTTAAATTGATGCGGTGCCTAACACGATATCTTATTCTTACATGTACATATGTATGTGCAATGTACATATTTCAAGCCAAAGCTTGTTAAATATAACTTACATATCTTGTTCAAGTTAGTGATTGTACCCTTGAAAATGGAATTAATATTAGCAAACTCCTGATTTATCTTCTCGGATATTTCGTCTGCATCGTCCACGTAAAGTTGCTGTTCAGGTGTCGGGTTCTTAGATAGATCTTTGAAAAGCAATTCAATTGCCTCGTTGAATTTTAGCGGCATTGCGAAAGTAATGAACTTGATCCGGGGAAGAACAAAATTATATTGAACTTTGCTGCGGCCTCTGAAACTAGGGATGATCAGCTTAGACTTCCTTGTGATGTGCAAAGCTAATCGAATATGCTCACGACCACTTCACTGTGATTTTAAGCAATTTTACACTTGGGGTATTCCCTAACTGTTCCCTAAAATTGTGGTTATTCGCTTATCAGCTGTGTAATACAAGCTCTGTTTTTACACGAATACTAGAACTGTTCTCAGGTAAAAAAAATTCTATTCCGCTCATGGCAAATCCCGTGCGATTAAAGGGTGTTTACAAGAAGTAAAAGCAATTTTAACAATCCAATATGGTTCCACTGACTGAGCTAATAACTCTTTTTGGATTCCACTAAATGTAAACATTTTTAAGGAATGAATAAATGGAATGTAATAATTTAAAGTCTAATAAGTAATAATTTAAAATAAAAATCTACAAAAAAGTTTTGATTTTTTTGTTATAAAGCAGAGGTAGTCATTCGCCACTTTAAAAAATTTAAGTTTTCTTAGAAACAACCGAAGGCATTTTACCAAAAATTAATTAATCTTAAAAAATGCAAAATCACATGTTAAACAAACTATACTTTTAGGCTGCCAGATGAAAATCAAACACATGGTTTGAACAAATGTTTTCGCAATTTGCATGGTTTTATTCGCTTAAGAAATATGTTAGGTCGTATTTAAATTCGAGCAAACCGAACTTGTTTCGAAACTTTGCAAATGCTCCCCGGCGGCTTTTTGGAGTTGGGTGGTTTACCCGGAAAGAAATTTCCTAGTTTTATTAAGTCATCGAAAGGCCGCCAAACAGAATAGCGACTCATTTCCATCCAGTTTTCAAATTTCCATATCTGAGAATAGACGTAAATATTAATCAGACGCGCAGACAAATAAAGCTGTTAGCAGTTAATGGGATAACAAGCTAGAATTCGTTGGGGTCACCCGATATTTTGTGTTTGGGCGTGCCTTTGTTTGCTCTTTATGGGCGCAAAGGCCATAAATTAACACCGTGAAAGAATCGATGGTTCGATTGATTTAAAGCCCAAGCAGAACGGTCCCAAGGTTTTGCGGTGGTCGGAAAACATTTGCTCGTTTCGAAAAGCTTAGAACAACTAGCAACAACTTATTCTAGGTCTCGAGTCTTAAGATATTAAAGTTAGTTGGTGATTACTACATGCTATGGTGTTCAGCCTTCTTCTTGGACACTTGCATCCAAATCGATGTGGATGGTGGACATGATGGTGGATCGAATCCTTTCAGGAACTTCAGAAGAACTGGGGCTTTTTCAGCTTGCCGTCCTCGGTGTGGGTGCGAATGTACTCCAGGGATCGCAGGATATAGTCGGGTATGGGCGGTGGCTGCGGCAGATGTCGGCCCACCACATGGAAGCCCAGTTCATCGGCTATGTAGCGTGTCTCGATGGGAAGGCCCTCGGGCGAGGTGTAACTATAGATCCCAATGGTTTCCAGTGGAGATCCGGCCGCCTGGACGTCTATGCCATTGCTGGTCTTAAAGGCATACTTAAACACACCCTCATCATCCGAAGGCGAAACCCGGAAGTCCGTTATCTGGGCATCCCGCTCACCAGCACCCACCAATCTCCGGATACGGCGAACCCTCACCAGACGGCCATCCGCCTCCACCCAAATGAGGGCCAGAAACACCAGGCCAATGAGCTGAAACCAAAAGAGGTCTTATCAGCCTTCAAGATCACGGATCAGATAGGTAACACATTCATGGGCTCAGGGCCAAATGCTTACAAAATATCGCATATTTCTCGATTTTATATCGGTTTATCTTTTCGCACAGGCACTAAAAAACACAACAGGCACGCTGGGGGATTTATGATTGATTTTGTAATATTTTCCGATCCGATGTAATCCGCTGCGGAATTTCGACGTCTGCGAGGTTCAAAGTTAGCCACCGTACTGCCAATCCGGCCAGCTGGTCTCTTCAATTTTATATGTGGTAAACAACGGGCCAAAACGTAAGCTTCGAAAATCTAATAAGCATAACCAAATGCCAATAATCGTTGGCTCCGTCTTCTGTAGCGCCTCTCAGATAAACGCTGCTGACTGTGACCACCCTGCCCACCAGTTCTAGCTCTCGATAGCGGGTCATATCGAATCTACTATATAATTCATTTCCGTTTATCATGTTTGCTTATTCATATTTTATGATTTCATATATTAGGCTTTAATAAAAGTGCTAAGTAGCCCGAGTTCTTGAAGATCTGCTGCCAATTTTATTAGGAAATTTATGATGGCAGAGTTTCCGATTTTGGTTATACTATTGTTATTCGACTCAATGGCTTCTAAAATACTAGTTACGACTTGGGTTTCTTGCATCTTTCTAACTGTTTTGCCATAATAAGGTGTTGAATTGCCCAAAAACAAGGTTTTATTTATAGATACAAATGACTTCACTTAAAGTAAACCACTTGGAGTTTTGTATATAACCATTTTTTATCAATTATAGAAAATACCACCTGGGGTTCCAAACACGGAAGCATTTTGGCGCCCAGCATGATCACATAAAAAAATATTAAATTAATTTTTAAAGCCTATTCTTGTTTGGATGCAAATTATGGTCGTAAAAATCACAGCAAACGAGATAAAATCGTAGAAAATAGGCCATCAAATTATAAGAAGTCAGTAGTGGATTAACAGAAGTCATTTTAACTATTTTGGGTTTGGTAATCTGGCTAAGAAACTTAATTAAGAATCACAGTTCCGCGTGGAGAATAATAGCAAGCGGGGTTGTATAGCTTTACAGGTTCAAAGGCAGACTGATTCTTGATTTACAATTGAGCCGAAGCCAGTTCGTTGCCTGAGTCTTTTGTTTTTTGCCCCCAATGCGAGAGTGAAGCATAAATTATGATAATTTTGAAAGAACATTCAGCATAAATAGACGTTGTTTATGCTTATATTTACATACGGCTGAGTTAATGTTCTCCAAAGGGTCAGCTGCCCAAAGGGGTCACCCGCAGAGTCATCGTGGCCACTACCTAATAGTTCATGCAAGATGAGCAGATGATTTCTGGCAGGAGGAGAACTGGAAAAGGCAGTTCGTTCGTAGTTTTCGATTTCGGTTTCGGTTTTCTCGTTTTTCGTGTTTGCGTTTCGCAACCGATTCTAAGGCTAAACTATTTGGCGTCGATTTGTGTTACTTAATTAATGTTGTCCGCTAAAAAAAAGATTTTTACTTGTTTGACTTGAGGATTTATGTCTGAAAATTAGCCGAAGATTATTTTCGCATCATGCTTTCATCTTCGTCGAGTGCCCCTTTTGCTATGTAAATCCTCGAAAACACAGGCGTTGTTTCTTAATTAGCAAACAGTGTGTTTAAGACAAACAAACATAATGCTTGTATCATTAGGCAAACACACATGAATTCTGATTGATGGGCTGATTGATTCTCCGGTCTGGCACCTTGACGAGCGGCGACTTGTAAAGTTAGGGCTATGCAAATCAACGGGGTGCGGGGCTAAGTCGTACAAGTCGTGTAAGGTCTAGGTCTGCATAGCTCCATATTCCACACAGTGGGTCGAAATAATGAGGAAAACTAAAACCTTAAAATTATAAATTTGGATAATGTAGATGCTTTATTAAAAAGTCTATAAATGGTACCAACTTATGGTCGTATTAATGATATTTTTAACTAAAAACTCTATAGTTAACCATCTTTATTTTTGTAGTGCTAGGCAACTGTCAAGTTAGGTAATGCATTTTAATTTTAGAATTCGCTTATAAGAATATTTACTTTCGGATCTCTAAACAACCAGTTTCGAGCCCTCTCCAAACAGAAGTTATTCGCTTGGGTAAGTAACTCAATCAAACCGAACAAAACCCGAATCAACCATGATCAATGGTTGTGCAGTTGAAACCTTTAGCCTTTTCAGTTTCGCTTTAAATCTCGAAACAGTTAAGCGAATAATTAAAGTTGACGTATTGTATGCATATTTAGCACGCCTCATTAAATCAATTTAATATATTTGGTATTGGCTTTTTAGTTGAGACTTAATTTCAGCCATGACCTTTTACAAACGAAAATAGAATCCAATTATCATAAATGAATAAATAAATGGCACAATTTGTCAGAGGCGGGATGTCCGCAAGTCGGACATGTGAATCATAATCGTATTCGAACCACGGTGCATAACTTTCGATTTCAGATCGGCTGACTATGCAGGCACACCTACAAATGGACCCCGAAAAATCCAAAACAACTTCATTGTCAGGCGATAATGGCCGGGCATTAGCACAAAATCAATATAAATCAATTCCCGGGCTTCGAACTTGTATTTTTTTTCGGTGACAATGCGTATGAGTTCGCCTTTTGGTTGCACCGATTCCCGGTTTATGCTATTTAGCTTCCTCGTCTGATATTCCGAGAACAGTTCCCAGAGAGCTGAATTGATTAGATGAAGCTTCCTCTATAGAAATCGAAAGCTTCCTTTTCGGCCTCGTCAAATGTATTTTGGCCAGTTTCAATTTAACTTTCGAGCGCAGCAGATCGCGTCGCCTTAACTCTGCTGCCTCACAACGGTTTAAGCTCGGATACTGACTTTGATTCAGGTTCGGAATCGGTTTCGCCTTCAGAAGTCTATCAGGTTCAAGATCCACAGCGTAAAAACAAACATTTGGAATAATTTTAATTAGGCGACAATGTCGTTTGGCAAGGTTTGTGCGATGATTTGTGATTGGTATTCAGGCTCCGTTAAACCTTCCCCCAACCAACCGATCAGATTGTGGTGCTCCTGGTCCTTATCCACCTCAGCCATTGTCTCGGAGACACTGCCCCGTTTTTGGCCAGGACCATTTACTACCGGAATACCCCGCCCGATCCCTTTGGTCACTACGACTTCGAGTTCCAGACCACCAATGGGATAACCACCAAGGGAGCTGGAAACGAAAATGGAGCCGTAGGTGTGGTTCAGTTCGTGTCCCTCGAGGGCATTCCCGTAACCTTCTCGTACGTGGCCGATGCCAATGGGTATCAGCCCACCGGAGATCAGATTCCGGCCATTCCGCTGCACGTAATCCGCCAGTTGGAGTACATCCGCACACATCCGCCGGTGGACGAGCGTCGCTCGAGGCGTTGGTAAAACTCGACGATATTAAAACAATTATATATTGACACTGAAATAGCTGTCGATTGTCTGGCCGAACACCGTTACAGTTGCAGAATATTATTATTTCGTATTTATGTTTATTGTTTTTCCATGCAAATGGGACGTACGAAGGAACAACAACAGAGCCAGCAACAAAATCATGCCAAAATATATAGCAAGCCAATAAATATTCTAGAAATATAAATAAAGTACTAGACTTAATTGATCTGCGTTCTGGATGTCCGGAAAGTTTACGTCTAGGAAGGAAGTTTATCCAATAAATAATAATTAAGACTCGTACAACATTTTGCAATTGTGAAACTGAGTGTATTCATAAAACCCGATTTAACTTATTGATGATATTAACTTATAAAGATGATATGGTGGCTGAAAAAAAAGTTAAAAAATAGCTAGATTTGTGTTATTAAATAAAAAATATTTATATAAAATAAATTAGGAAAACATTAGTAATTTTCATTATTATATATTTTACAGATTTGTAGTTTCGTTAATTCTTTAACAAATTTTCACCAGTGTAGAAATTGCCCAACGTTGCAAATGAAATAAGCGAAGAATCCCATATAAAAATTAAAAGATTTATGGATGCAGTCCATAACTAATCGAAATCATGTTTTCTACGCTAATCAACCGCACTGAAATGTCAGCTTTCATCAGTTCTCTTTTCCATTGCATTCTTTGAGATGAACAAAATGTTAATCTTGTGGTTACTTTATGTTCTATCGCTATTTTAGACTATGCTTACCATTTTTCCCCAGTGTAGAAACCGGCAACTATTCTTATGAAATAGCTAACAATGCTTCTTTTAAAATTCCTAGTTTTATGAGCTGCATAACTAGCAGAAATCATGTTTTCTATGCTAATGACTCCTGAATCAACCGAACTAAAATGTCAGCTTTCATCAGTTCACTTTTGCTCTGGCTCCTTTGTTATAAAAATGTCATACCAATCCGATCCGATCTCCGACCTTGTCTTTAAGAACGACTTTCGCTTTTGCGGCAATCAACGAGAAGATTGCGCCTGTCGCCGCTCATTTGCATATGGGCACCTAATTAAGGCCGTTGCATAATATTGACCGACTCTTCAAGACCGACCTAATGTAACCAGACTAATAAACCAAATTGAGTTGACACCGTTTAATATCACCGAAACAAGTTGCTGATTGATGCTCGCCTCAAGTTAATCCCCAAATTGGTTCCGGCCTTCGGACACACAAATATCTTTAGGAGATTACCGCGGGCAACTCCAAAAGTTCACCGCGCAAATGAATGAATGCTTCAGCTGCATCCAAGACGTCAACTCGTGGATTCTACCAATCCCGTCCGAAACATATTCGAATATGAATTATTCATAGCGGGTTCGTTTATCTGATCTTCCTCTCAACAGATCCATTAAGCTGCTAAACATGCATTTGATAAACCACAAACAACCCGCAGGCAAAAATCGGCAATTTGTACACGTCCTATTTTTGGATCCAAAACTATCAAATAGACATTAGTTCGTTCTATCCGATCATCTTCGTTGTCGGATTTATCTGAAACTCTATCCACGTGCCAATCCGGTTGCAGTATTTCGGTTGCTGCTCTCAGAATTTCAACAGTCGCTGATTTATGAATCGGAACGGGGCATTCATAAGGCTTTAATTACCGTCTAAATTGCTTTAATGCCACCGCTGGGTGTTTAGTATCCAACTTAGTATTAAATCTTATTAATCAACTACCTGCGAATTTAAATATACATACATCAATAGCCAACAGGTGTTGAGCTATCAAGAACGAGTCGAAAGTTTCGCTATTAAATATGAATTTCTCGAAATTTTATCATTCATAACTGAATAATCTAGTCTATAAGGTCATCGCCCCTATTAACTTGAGAAATGAATGCTTGGATCGATGTTGACAATGTGTAAACGGTGGGGTTACCGCCTGACTTATGAGCCCATCGGTATTCATTGGAACAAAGTTGCCATCAGCTTAATTATCTTATCTGAATCGATTTACATGCATACCAAATTCCACATACCGCACACAAAGTAAAAAGAAACATGGAATCGATGTTCGTTTCTTTACAATAATATATTTCAAGTTGCTTGACATATATATGTATATTTCTGGGTGTGTTTGTGGCGTGTATTTGTTAGTGGAACTGGGGGTTATTCAAAGTGGGTTACGGGTACCATACACCTAAAATTATAATTTTACTGGGATCACGAGCTTTTAGGAAGCAACATCAATTCTGAATTAAGTTGGACCGATCCCAGATCTCCATTTTGTGTTTAAATCGATTTTATTTAGTGTAATTGTTGTGTTGGCGTGTAAATACATATTTTAAACATATTCCAAGTATTTCACATAAACTATATGCTTACACAATTTTGTTGATTTCGCATTCATCTTGCAGTTTGTCTATACTATTACTAAACCTAGACACGATTTGGGGCAGCCAGAGCGATCTGGGTTGAGATCCCTGGCACCCGAGTGCGAAACGGACCGCATGAACAATTTGATTGATTGAATTAATTTTATCTTCTGGCTCGTGAATAAGAAATCGTTAGTTTAGTTTACTGGAGTGTTTAATACATATACTAAATGTAAATATATATTGAATAGTTTCATGTGTATTTCTGTCTTCGTGTTCAGTTGTCTGTAAAATGGGTTTCGGTTTTGGGTGTGTCCGGGTTGGTTGGTTGCAGTTAGGGGTGTGCAAAAGTCCTCCAGAGATCTTGAGCGCGCCCACAGCTAAAACCTGTGACGAGTGCAACTAGTATCGCTTTTTAAGTTAGTGGTGCTTAACAACTCACCAGTCCTCTTCGCATGCCAGTATGGTATAGTGGTCACGGCCCCGCCCCTAGGGCCAATCCTAGTCGGCCTTCGTCTCCGTAAACTCCTCCAGGGCAAAGAAGCTGCCGCCCGAGGCGCCGCCACTGCTGCTGGCTGTGCTGGTGGCCACTACGGTGGTGGATGCCGTTGCACTGGATGCTTCCGACACTTGCACTTCCTCGCCGGCCGAGGCGGCAGCCGCCTCCTTGTCATCGGCACTGCCGGAGGCACTGGCTGCCGCCTGTTGGGCGGCCTCCAAGACCTGTTGTTGAACTTGGACGATGGGCTGGCCATCTTCCGTGTACGATACGGAAACTGGGATGCGGGTGCCATCCTCGCTGATGACGTGGGCGCCTTCCTCACCATCCTGTCCTTGCTGGATAATTAATTGTCCCTCGGAGTTCAATAGGGAGGCATCGATCAGCTGCTGCTCATTGTTGTCGCCGTGGACAAGTACCATTTGGCCACTGCCATCGGTCATCATTTGAAGGGTTTCGCCTTCGAGTCCTTCGCCAGATTGCAGCACCCCCACACTTTGCAGCAGCTGCTGGATCTGCTCGGGATCTTGCACAATTATCTGGTTGCCTTCGGCGTCGGTCAGGATGTGGTTATCCAGCTGGAGGAGATGACCGTTCTCGTTGACGATGAACTTGATCTGACCGCCGTCCACCTGCGCCTGCATGGCTTCGTCCAGTTCCATGGCCACATGCTCACCACCGGCAGCCTCTCCAGTCTCACCCTCGGCTCCTGTGCCGGCGGTCACCTCGGCCTCACCAGATTCAGCGCCGTCTGCGGTCGCGGCAGCTGCCTCCGACTCGGTTGTGGGCGTATCCGTGGCCTCACGCTTTGACCCGGCTTCTCCTTCGTCCGAGGGTTGGGGTTCCTCTGCAGCAGCGGCCTCCTTCGCCTTGGCACTTTCTCCGGCCTTGGCCTTGGATTTCTCTTGACCTGTTTTACTGGTCGCCTTGGTTTCCTCTGCGGCCTCAGCCTCGGCAGCTGCAGCCTCATTGTCATCATCTAAACTGGGCATGGACACGGGAGCTGCATTGGATTTGCTGTCGGCGGAGGAAGCGTCACCGCTGTCGCCCTTGGCGTCGATGCTGCCCTGAGACTGGGATTCGTCCTCGGCTTGATCCAGGTTTGGCATGTCAATGCTAACGGAGACGGGAGCTGTGGCATTGGGCGAATCCTTTTGCGACTGGTCACCGTCCGGCTGGGGGATGGTTATGTTGAAGGTGATGCCCCCGCTGCCCTCCTGCGAGGTGATTACCATCTCGCCGCCTTTGCTTCCCGCCTTGTTCGCCTCGCCGCTCTCGTTCTTATCGGAGTGGAGCTTCTCGAATAGGCTCTCAATATCGGCCTCAGCATTCTGCTCGCCGCCCTCGTCTCCACCTTTTCCGGATGCCTCTCCCGGCTCGTCGCTCAGTAAGGCCGTGGCTGCCGAATTGAGGGCAGTGGCTCCGGCCGAGGCGCCCTTCTTGTCACGCCTGTGGGTCTCCATGTGGTGGTTGTAGTACGTCTCCTGGATGAACGTCAGCGAGCAAATGCTGCACGAGAAGAAGCGGATGTTGTTCTCCGCTTCGGTGGTGGCCACAGCAGCTGTCGAAGCCGAAGCAGGCACACTGTCGCTGAGTGCCTCGTCAATGGTTTCTTGGAGCAGCTTCTGGGTATTCAGATTCTGGCTGACCGGCTGTTTGGGCGAGACCGCCGCTGCGGCCGGATTCTGGTGCACTTCGAAGTGCTTGACAAGCAACTCCCGCTTGGGGAAGGTCATCGAGCAAGTTCCGCACTTGAAGAAATTGGTCTGATGCTGCTTGGCGTGCACAGTAGCCGCTTCGCGCGTCTCGAAGCGCTGCGAGCACAGGCGACACTTGAACGGCTTGGGCTTGCCAGCAGAATGCTTGCGCATATGCTCATCGAAGACTCCCTTGTCCGTGGACTTAAACTGGCAATGATTGCATGTGTACAGCGAGGCTCCGACCACGTTCAGATTCTCGGTGGCGGCGGCAGCAGCGGCGGCCGCAGCGGCAGCCACCGGAGCAGCGGCTGCTGGGATGGTAGTAGTGCTGGTCACCAGCACGTTGGTGGCGTGATTGGTCTCCATGTGCTTGCGCAGGCTCGCTTCGTTCACGAAGTTGATGTGGCACATGGCACAAGTGTTGTCCATGGCGGTGTTGTGGTCGCGCACCATGTGCTGCTTCATGGCCCCGAAGTGCGGGAAGATCTTGCGGCAGGTCTTGCACTGGAAGGTCTGCTGCTTGCAGGTCTCATAATGCGTGTTGAAAAGCCGCATGTCGGAGGTCTTGTAGTCGCACGAGGTGCACTTGTATATCTTGGTGGCCTTGCGCTGGACTGTTTGCGTGCCCTGGACGCTGCTCTGGGTGGCTCCTGCGGCGATCTTGGGCTGACCCACTGTTTAGGACAAGAAATAGCCTTAACAAAAGCTTGGATTTGGTTGAAACTAAGTGCTCACCTGGGTTGCCCTGCAGGACCTTGCGTGGTCGCAGTAATTCCCCACTAGGACTCTCCTCCAACGACCGATTAGCGGCTCCGGTGACCATCTTCTGCATCTTGAGAGGCGGACTGCCCTCCAGGCCCGCGTCCTCGTTAATGGCATACTTCTTATTTAGCAGACTGATGAGGTTCGTCTTGACGCGCTCCACATCGTTCTCCAGGCGGTCGTAGTAGTTGACCAGGTTGGTGCAGCGCGTGCACACGTAATCCTCGCCGCAGACGATGACGAGGAAGCCCTCGCCCACGAGCTGCGCCAGTTTGTTGGGGAACTTGGTGGCCGTGTGGGTGGTGCACATCTCGGTGAGCGAAGTCTGTGGCTCGCACCGATCATCGCAGATGTAGCACCGCGTGGCCAGGCCGCCGACTCCAAGGTTTCCCGCCTCCGCATCGCTTACCGCCTGCTGTTGGGCGATGCCGACGGCGGATGAGGCGCCTCCGGCTGAGGCGCCACCGGACGAGGCACCTCCTCCTCCGCCGCCGCCACCGGGCACCACTAAGCGCGTCGTCTTGAGGATGCGCGGCTGACTGGGACCGGTCACGGTGACCGCTCCGCTACTGAGCAGATTATTGAACTTGCGGTAGGTGGCCGGGTTCAGTTGGTTGTTCATCGCGTGGCCTTTCGGATCCGGATGGGCACGCCGTGATGGTGAATGGTGTTGTGTTGTTGCTCGGTTTTTGCGGGCGCCACACGCGCAACTGCAAGCCGCTTCTTTTCAATATTAATCGGCCGATTACGACAAACTGCACTTTTGCACTGCGGCTGGGGGCACTGAATGTTGCTCTTTTCTTCTATCGGGATCGAGTCAGCTTGGCCACGCACACGGAACGCTCTCTTTTTCGTGGACACTGGACACCAGGAACAACAATCGTCCTCCGCTTTTAATTATCCGTTTTGTTCTGGGTTGTCGCGGCGTCACTTTGACTGTACTAAACACTCGGTGCTGTATTTTTTAGGGTTAAAATGCGTATGTTACTGCAGCGGTTCTTGTCGCTCGCCTATAGTCGTCTCACTCTACAGCATGCTCGCTGCCCTGGCACGGCGTGAGTGCACAAGCCGGTCGTCTCGCTCGCACGCCACGGAAATGGCGGCTGCTAGGCGGTCTAAGCACGGTCAGACAAAGAAAAAATATGACAGCGTTGCCGTTTTGCATGATGAATGGAACAATTAATACGGAAAATAATATATTTAATTAATCTGTACAGTCAAATGAGTGTTTTGTTAATGATAAATATTTTTTGGCTTCCATTTTTGTATTGAAAACTTTGCTTACGCCTGTTATATTTAAATAAACGATGACGTGTCTTGTGTGTCATGCAACGTCATGCCGTTTCAGTTCCCTTGGCCGTCGCCAGAGGGCGCTTTTGCCCGCGCATTTTGAATATTTGAAAATGCACATCAAGAAATAATTAAAATGCTTAGCCCATGAGGTCAGCAGTAAATACAAGCATTTAGGCAGCGATAAGGGCCGACATCACAAATGTGTTAATACAGAAGGCCGATAAGATTCCAGAGTTCCACTTTTAGCCATTCGATTTCTGTCTGGTAAAATAAAAACTGAGGCTTTCTTATCAGCAGCGATAATATAATATTTACCATCACCAAAGCAAAACATAACTTCACCCCGATAAAGGTTTCGACCAGAACACAGTATTCAGTTAACGAACGAAACGAAAACCGAGCGGGTATAAACTCGGAATCGAAGTGAATTATAAAGAAGTAAAAATAAAAGCCCCTGGCCATTATCGCTAGGTTTTCGTACAATAAACGATTTGCAAACCCCGTCGAAATTTGAATTGTCCGGCCCGATCGTTCAGTTGGCCAACGGACGTCGCGAACGGCAAAAGCGCACTCAACCCGAAAATTAGATCGATTTAAGTCCCACAACCGTGGGGCGTGAGAAAATAGCAATACACCTTTGCATCCAACAGTCACTGCAAAATGTATCCACCACCGGCAACGAAAATCAAGCACTTTGGCTCCCTCAGAACGGCCGCCATTTGGGCCGGAATTCTCGGAGTGGTAAGTCAGCAGTTGGAAGTCACTGTCACAGTCACTACCAATCGACCGCGACCCCATTCCAAACCCATTGATAAGAGATATGGAAAGATATTGAAGCTGACATCGCAGGCACTCACTAAAATTGGATACCCTCTCTTTATCGGAAAGTCCACATTTCCACCTGGTCGTCAGTTAATCGTGACATAATCACTGACTCACTTGGGACGATTCCCAAACTGAAGAGGAATTGATAACAAGTGCTATTGACTAGTGTAAACAACTGAAAGAATCTAGATAGGGGCAGTTTTTTAAAAGATAATTATAAACAAATGTATTTTGAATTCCTTTGCATATTAAGTAATACACTCATTGACCTTACAAACATAAAAACCCCTAAACTTTCTTCCTAAAAATTCATAACAATGAAATAGTATAATTTTATCATAACTTTTTGGTGAACTCCCACACTAATATAGTTTTCCTTGCAACAGGCCCAGTCTATCATCTGGATGGGGCTGACCATTACAGCGATATGTGCCTTCAACTGTGTGGTGTACATAACGAATGACTTGACTTATGGCACCATGGTCAAGACAGTTTTCTTCGACCTGTACTTCAAGGGCGGATGCAAGATGAGCCCCTCCGATTACCAGAACTACGACCAAACTATCCTAAACACAGTGACGACAGTTTTCGATCCTAGTCAGATTTTGATCTGGGATTCCGTATACTTGGGCGTTTCTGTCTGCTGGCTCATCGTCTCCATTGTGCTGCTACTGTGTGAGTAACTTAAGAACCGGAAATTAGCTGCATATTCAGTTAAGATATCGCAAACCTTTATGATTCACTTGAAGAAATCTATGAATTTCTTTTATCGGGCAGACAAAACTGATGATAGTATCAAAAAACCCTCGCATGCCAAAAGCCATAAAGCCCAAATAAACAATGTTTTATGATAAGTTTGCTTGAAACTTATATGATAGGTTGTATAATGCGTACATTATGGTTATTCCCCACAATATTACTGTTTTAGCATTTGAAATAGGGTTAGCTTAATGCAATTTAGTATTATTACAAAAACAGTATGCTTAATGACGGACATTTTAAAGTAATTTATATTTACCAGCCTAGTTCTTTGTTTTTTTAGACATCGGGACAAGACTCAATTTATTACTCAGTAGACACACAATATAATGTTTTATCTTATATGTTATCATTTTAAATAAATATTTCACAATGTAAAATGTAGATGATTGCTTCTTTTTTATTGTACCTGATGAATAACATCTTTTCTACCTTTGTGATACACTTACAAAATCCAGATTTGTTAACTTGTAATCAACTTTAAAAAAATGTATACAATTAGTTAGGTGTTAATATAAAACATATTATTTAATATATTATTTAAAGACTTGATTATAAAATTGATTGATGTATCGCCAATAAGTAGACCCACTTATGTATCACATGTTTAGGTGACAGGCATTTAACCCTCCTGTGATGGATTATACTTTTATTAATTATATGTTTTATTTTCTTCATTCTAGGGGTGCGCAAGGACAACCCCAAGCAGACACTGACAGCCATATATACCTGGGCCTTCTTTGTGGCCGCCATCTGTTGCATGGATATAGCTTCTGGAGTGATCTTTGGAGTCGATTACGCACGCTTTAATGATGCGGCTTTGAAGTATAATGCCAATAGCGTCAATAGTGGTGAAATCTATCCCATGGCTGCCACTTTAATAGCCGGTGGAGTGGCTGCCATCTCCATGATGATCATCTCCTTCAAGGGATTCGTTCTATGGTTCATCAACTTTGGACTGCTTGTGTACCTTCTCATGAGAGCCATTCGCATTGCCACCGATAAGGATGGTGTGGTAAGTGCTGGTGGGGGTCAGTGGGTGACTTCATCGCCCACTTATGTTGGCTGGCTGGCCGGCGTTGTCTTCTTCGATTCCATAAATTTTGGCCACTGTCTGTGAAAATATTCGAACAACGCAGAAACGACTACGACATGGCTAAACTTAGCATTTTGCACAATTAACTCAATGTGGTGGTGGTAACTAATGATAAGCTGGCTCGTATAGGCGGCAGGTAATTGGCCTCAGGTTTTCCTGATAGGAGGTTCCTCGGATTTCGTGCTCTTTTCGTCGAACACCGTTGAAAATAATTGCTTAATTAGCTCTAGGTGTGAGGGTTCTTTGTAGGGACAGTTCGCTTGAACTGCAATGTTCTTAAATTAATTGCAAATTTGAACTTATTAGAATTTCATTTTCAGAATCATTTTCTATTTCCTGCAGAATAAATTCAGTTTAGGTATTTGATTCAGACCCTTTTTAATTTTTATGTGATCTTTATCATGTTTTTAATGGTATTTTCCCTTTACAGGATACTTTGTTTAATCCTCGCAAGGATTCCAATGATATTCTGACCACCAGGCCTCCCATTCGCGCCTACGAGGAAGAGAAGTGAGTAGCACCGATTAAGATATGATAGCCATCTAATTCTCGATCTGTATTGATAGGGTGGAGATCCAGGCGTATAACAACGCCGCCTACCTTCCGGACAACCGCTCCGTAGCGGAGACCATCGAGGTGAACGAAGGCGCCATTGTGCGGGCGGCTCACATGTCGATGGATTCTAATCTGTTGGATCGCCGCTTCCGGGACCTCAATGCCTTCCAGCAGTATCCGGCTCCCAATCCGCAGAACAGTCGCCCGTTGCGCCAACAGTCGCAGGTTCCGGTGCAGGAGACCATTGTGGTGGCCACCGCGGGATTCCCCCAACCCGACTATTCGCCACAGCCCAGTCCCAATGGCATTTTGCGGCCCCACCAGTACTAGGTACTAAGCCCATTGGCGCCCCTCCGAAAAGCCCTCTTCCATAAAATAATTCTCAAATAATCCCCCAAGTGACAACTAAAGTTTAGTTCAAATTTTATCAGCGTGAGCATTTGCTCTGCATGGTTATTCTTATTTATTTGCATGTTAATAACAATATAAGTGTACAGTTGTAAATAAATGAAAACGTTATAGTTATTTGCACCACCAGTGGGATGGTATTTGTTTATATGGTAATTTGATTATTTCATAGAGCTGATAAGGCGTGGGTCGCCGATTAAGACAGAAAACGGCCCCCAGCAACGATTTAATTGGGAAGAGATAAGAAATACAGGAGGAGCATCGAAACGTAGTATATGACTGGGTTCTTCAAACTTTTCCGGACATTTTGAAATGTAGTACCATGATTCGTTTTTAAATTTTTCGCAAGTTTTAAAATCTTAAACAATATTAACTATTTATTTAAATGAAATATTTTACAAATAAAAATATCAACTATCTAAAACGTTTACAAGTTTAACAGTTTAATTAATAAATTGATACCTAATGGTTAAAGTATAATTTGAATTTACCGCCAATTTGCAGGGTAGTGCGATAGCCCGATAGGCTGTTATTGTTATCGACATCTACGCGTTTGTCGCTTTTTAGCCCCTTCTACAAGTTGCCGCTGTTTTTTCGGGTCATCAAAAGTTCATAAAATATTGTCTGATTTCTGATAAGCCGGGGCCATATTCGACTTTCATCCCGAGAGCCGGGCACTAAACGTAGCGTGTGTGTTTTAAATCCAATCATTTGTCACCGAAACACCCCCGGGAACGGTTGGAATATTCATTTCGCCGGCAGTTGCCTTTGTATTTGACTGTGGAAATATGGTTTTCATCACGAAATTTGCAAGGATTGGCCTGCAGGCCGCCCGTCAGCTGAGTGCCACGCCCCTAGTGGCCGTCCAGGGGCGCGCCTTCCACCTGACCAGCCTCCTCGCCAAAGGTAATCCATTGTTTATGCAATACCCACCGCATCTCAAACTGTAATCCCCGCCAGAACGCCGCTACACAAACAAACACGAGTGGGTAGAGCTGGTCTCTGGGAACAACGCCATCGTGGGCATCTCCAGTTACGCCCAGGAGGCTCTCGGGGATGTGGTCTTCGCCCAGCTGCCGGAACCGGGCACGGAACTCAAGCAGGATGACGAATGTGGGGCCCTGGAGAGTGTTAAAGCGGCCAGCGAGGTGTACTCTCCAGTTACTGGCAAGGTGACAGAGAAGAATGCCCAGGTGGAAGACACACCGGCCCTAGTCAACAGTAGCTGCTATGAGAAGGGTAAGATCTGGTATAAAAACCCTTATTCCAATCAGTATAATCACATATTTACATTTCCCAGGGTGGCTCTTCAAGGTGGACCTCAAGAATCCTCAGGAACTCGACGCCCTCATGACCGAGGAACAGTACAAAACCTTCGTGAGCAGCAGTGACGATCACTAGAACAACCGCCAGCAGCAGATAAACCAAGCATCTTGACTGTAGCCTTTAAAACAATACTATCTAGCATTTGTTATCAGCTCAAAAACTCCACACGCGTCCCGAAAATCACCAACCAAACTCATCGTCATACACACGTTATTGTAGCTCTTGAAATTTGTTACGAATAAGAATCAACAGTAAAGCCAAATATTATATTTAAATTGGGCATCTTGACCTGCGGGTGGCAGACGCCGTCTGCTCCCCCATGGAAACCTTCTAGATGATAAGAAGCACCACGTTTGAATTAAGAGAAAACGTGCTGAGAGTTACTCAAAGATAACAACTCACTCTACAAAAGATTAAGAGAGTCGCCGAGTCTGCAAACCACTCAATTTCATAATATTGCGGATCAGCTTGGACCGGCGTGCTTGGCCGGATTTGGAAAACAACATTCAACACTGTTGCCGGGACACGCGATGGCGCACGCCGCGGCATCCAGCCATCACCTGATTGATGATGGACCGATGACACACCTTTCTCTCTGGAAAGTTACGCCGTGCTTGGGCGATAAGGATGTACCAAGTCGCGCCTTGAAATTATGCCCGATCAAGATGATAAGCCCTCCAGAAAGCGCCGCCCATGTCCCATTGAACTTGAAGAGCGTGTTCGTCGAAGCTTTTCCACCCGAAAGCTATGGCAACGGAGGCGAAAAGCTTGGCAATAGCTCACTCGTATGGTCAGTTCTCAAAAAAAACTCAACCCGTGCGGTGCGAGAAGCGCGTGCTGCTCGAAAACCAACCCCAAGAATAATAAAAACAATCACAATCCACACACTAAGCTAAGGATAATTGCAAAACAGGATAATTACAGACTTCGAACAAGGAAGAATAATTCAAGGAGATAGACCACAAATCAAAAACAAAATGCCAGCGGAAAAATCAATATACGATCCTAATCCGGCCATCAGCCAAAATGCCTACATATCCAGCTTCGAGGAGTACCAGAAGTTCTACCAGGAGTCGCTAGACAACCCGGCCGAGTTCTGGTCCCGTGTGGCCAAGCAGTTCCACTGGGAGACGCCCGCCGATCCGGAGAAGTTCCTACAGTACAACTTCGACATCTCCAAGGGACCCATTTCGATCAAATGGATGGAGGGTGCCTCCACCAATCTGTGCTACAACCTCCTAGATCGCAACGTTAGGAATGGTCTGGGCGATCAAATCGCCTATTACTGGTGAGTCTGGCTGGCAATCCTCGCCCACTTTCCCATTGGGTGGCGTAGGTCGCATGAAAACAAAAGTTTTGGGTGGCAGGATTATTGATTTTTCGTGTGGTTACGAAACTCTCGCCTTGTGACGTACCAAGGTGGGTTCTTCTTGGACAGGATTCACTGCGCAGGCACCGTGTTCGAAACAGATGATAGCACTCCTTTTGCACATTTTACACATACATATATCTGTATAGGGATGCCACTCAAGGGCACAATCTTACCTTTTGGCATCGATTTTGGGCAGGAGCTTTCCTTTTATTTTCCTTGTGCCCAGCTAATTGAAGCTATCATTTTTGTTTTGATTGCGCACAATTGGTTTAATCGTTTGCATGGTAAATGTGACAGTGAGTCTAAAGACTCATGATTAATTCCATTTCGGGTGCTTTTTGGATTTTTTACTACGTATTGGCTAAACACTCTGGGTCAATGTCAGGGTCAGTCTTGGTTCCTCGAGACGACCCTCATAACAGGGTGACCCGGCCAAGTTTACGCTTGGTATATCTTTGTTTATTTATTCAGTTCGTTGTATAGTTAATATCGATTAAAAATTAACCGGTTAGTTAGTTTAAAAAAGTTTAAAGGCAGGGTTGGCATTTTATATACATTTAATTCATAGAATAGGGTTTAGTTTGAGTAAAAAATTCTTAATCGATGAGTTATACGTTTTAATGTAATTTAGAAGTTGTTCTATTAATTATTTTGGGCTAAACTGCTTTTTTGTTGCCCACACTTGGTAATATCTTTTAAATATTTCCTTTGCTCTTAAATATAAAGCAAAGTAAAAACATAAAGTCACCTAAAGGTCATTACCCTTTGTTAAAGCCTTATTACAACTAAGTTTTTTTATTTTATATACAAAATAATAGGTTAGTACTTGTTTGATTCGTATTTTGAAAAGTACAGATTTTCCAACTGCCTTTAAGGTTCAATATCCCATATTCCAGCTGCCTTATCTGAAGTCTGTTCCTAACTCATCTCCGCACCATTTGTTTGTTTCTCCACACGAGACACTCGTTCGTAGCGAAAAGCTAACAATTAAAGCAAATATTAAATAATGACTTCACCCACTATATAGGTTCTTCCCACTATAAAACTACAGACTACGTTGATTACGATTAAACAACAGACACTCCTTTTCGCTGATTAGCTACCTGTACTATATATTACCTTATGGGGTTCTCAAGTGCCCTCTCAGAACGCAATTAAATTGAGTTCCCTAGATGAAATAAGTATTTTGTTTTGGTTGCGCTTGAAGATTCGCTTTATTTTGAGACCCAAAGTTCACCGAGCCAACCGTCAAAGCGAAAAAAAGCACAATGTTAAACAAATGTTAATGCTAATGAGCTTATCTCGGGGTTATCACTTAAAGGGGCGGGTTAGGGCGCGGGACGCGTCTGCCGGAGGAAATGCAAATGAAAGTCAGGTAATTGAAAGGCAATTACAAGGTCATCACAAGTTGGTTCCCATTCAGTCTCAAAGTTACGAGGGCCCATCACTTTTCTGGGCTATATTCCGCTTTAGTGGGAATTATTTAATCCCAGCGCACAATCTGTCCCCACTTTCCTTAGATAAGATAAAGAGCGGGACACAAACCAAAAAGACAGAAAAACCGTGCACGTAATGAGTAATAATTAACGCTTTTCGAACGGCCGTTTCAGATAATTTTATTGCAAACCAAAGCAAAACAAAATCTTAAAAGTTATATGCCCCAGTTTTATAGCAGAGATAGGGGTTGCGAAACGAAAAAGTTGTTGAAAAGATCATCAATTTGTTTTCAGACTTTCAAACATCTGGTAAATAACTTACAATTTCAAGGAACGTTTTCAAATATAATTGTTCTTTTGAAACAACACTTTTCAAACCGATTTGAACTCAAGTGGTTTGTACCTTGGTACCGAAATAACCGTTTCGAACTCAACCGATTTACGCAAACGGTTTTTAATTTCGAGAGTCGCCAGCAACAAAATTAAATCGAATTAAACGCACGAAAGCCTGAGCGAAAGCCGAGCAATATTAGGTAAGCGATTTGACAATGCGCGCAAATTGTTTATTCAAATTGATGGAAGCGCGTCTTTGCGTTAAGCATTTTGCTATGTTTTCGACTGTTTCTTTTTTTTTCGGTTTCTGTGTCAGCGTGACAGCGTCTGGGCAAAAGGTGGAGGAAAAGGTAGAATAGATAGACATGGAGAAATTAAGTAAAAGTACCTTAAACATAATATTGCTAAATTTCCAGTAACAGCTAACAGTTTGAGCTGCACTGGGCGTCTAGAAAATCACGCGATCACATCGTCTGATTCACTCACAACCAATTAGAGAGCCACTCCGCTCCACTCACGCACCTGCAGACAGACAAGGACAGAGATAATAGAAAAAAAAATAAAAACAATATAAGAATGGTCTTACCTGCGAAAGAAAGAGCGAAGAGAACCCACAAACTATATATTAATGCTACCTAGGCATTTCTTGACTTTTTCGCCCTTCTTATCAGTTTTTCCACAAAAACAGGTTGCCAAGCCCTTCTCTATAAATTATGCAAACAGCTGCCTTAACAAAACTCAGAGATCCACGAAACCGTTAAAAACAAATAAACGATCTTTAGATAAACAGGAGATCAGCACATCGTACGATAATGTCTTTCAAACTGTAGGGTCTGGGCAGACACAGAGACGCGAAAGAAAGGGATGGAAGAAAGCACTGTAAAAAATTTAGATGTGTTTTATATTCAATAAAAAGTATAGTCTAAAATCATAGTATAGTATATGTATCACACTTTCTTTTTAGCACATATTTGCAGCTTAAATGTAATTTATTCGAATTTTTGCATACGAAAAAATTCCAGCTGCTTTGAAAAAAATTCCATGCCACATAAAAATACATTTTAAAGGTCAAATGAATGCTAAGACAAAATATTTATGAACATTTTTTAATCATGTTTTGACCGATTTGAATGATTACATTGTAAATCCATTTTATTATCGTTAGAACCGTCTCTCTAAGGTTTCGTTTTTCGGAGCTTGTTTTTGTAAAAACAAAAAATATTTTGAAACAATATTTCAATTATAGATCGACAAACAAAAAGTCGTTTTGGAAACCTTTTTGGGGAGATAGTGTATGTACTATACACACCTTGATTTGTCTCTTGAAAGGTTAAACATTTTATAAAGAAACCCATATTTTTGTTCAGTGCTGGGAGGAATCCAAAAACATTCGATGCGATTTATACGACACGCGAGTCAACAGCTGATGTTATTGTTATTAAGATAAGTTGTTTGGTGCTTATTGTTTTTGATGTAGTTTTTATGTCATAGCTCATAATTTTTTTTCGGCAGAATCGTGTGCTGTTTTGTGGCTGTTTTTAGCATATGATTTCTGATTTTTGATAAGCCGGAGACGGCCACGCGTCTTCCCGTGGTCAAGAGGTGAATGGTGAATGGTGAATGGTACGGCGGGACAGACGGTGCATGAGGTGTTTGCAAGGCGGCATGGAAAATTTCTTGTCTGGCGATCCGGCGACGAGATTAGGCGCAAGTGGCCCGATTACGTCTCCAAATTGGAAATTAATACACTCGACGGGACGCGTCGCGCCACATTTTTCCCACCAATTTCGGTTAGTCATGCGGAGGCGGAGGAGCCACTAAGTGCTCATAGCTTTGATAAGTGGAGAGGACGTCTACAAGCACGAACACTTGGCCTTGACTGTGAGCTGTCGCCGGCTGATTAAGATTTCGCCACAGTTTGGCATTCACCTTTCTTTAGAAAAGTTTTGGAGCTTTATGGGTAATTCCATCCCCAAAATAGAACTGCCCCAACTCAGATATCTTTATTACAGAAATCGAAACTACCTTTGATAAGTAGAAAACTTAAAGCTTAATAACATTTATTAAAAAATATTGGTATACAATTTAAATTGTTAGTACCAGAATAATATTACAAAGGGTTTGAATTTGAAAACATAAAAATTGTGCATTACAAACCACTTTAGCTATTGGCATTTATTAACAAAGTACATATAAACAGTAAGTTTTCTTATATATTAAAATTTTATAAATTTTTCCCAGTTAAGTTCAAAGATAATAAATGCCAGTAGTCATTTAGAATAATTTCCGGGATTTTGGAATTAAATTTTCTTAGTTTGGGTACCAGTTGTAGTATAGCTTTAATAATAATGATGAGTAAACCCGGTATACTGAACGTTACAAAAACAGTTCGAGTCACAAACGGTGCATTTTCAATGCGTATTTTATTTATTTTTACCATCTTACTAATTGACAAGTACAAGTACAAACACGTATTTCGTTCAAGTGGAATAACATTTCACGAGTGTTGATGGCCCAGTCGAATCACCCGAATCGGCCCAAAGCAACCCCACTCGGCACTCATCACCCCTTTTAACGTGAACTTTGGACATTGCGGCCTAGTCAGCAATACCAAAATAACCCCAAAAAAACGTCACGATGAGAGCTTTGTGCTGACTGCTTTCTGCATTTCTGTTTGGTAATATTTTGGCGGGGACCGAAATAATAGCCGTTTTATTGCCGGCTAATTCTAGTTCTTATCGCAGGTGACGGACAGCAGGCGATGATTTACACTCCCCATTGTGCCCTACTGATTGCGTTGTCTATCTACCCAGCCCACCTGTCGCTTTGTTGCTGTTTTGTAGTCCAGTTAGTTTATTATTAATTTTCCCGTTCCTAATCTGCCTTGACCTCCAAAAGTGCCATGGAAATTGCTTTCCCCATTACTTTTCCAGGTTTCGTGTCTGTCCATCGACAATCGCGAATGTTTATATCCGTTTTGGGTGCTGAAATCATTCACGATTTAGCTTGGTCACGATTTTTGTTTACCCGTACTAAGCTTTCAAAGCTCTGACAAGTTTTACATACTGTTTCGTGTTAAATTCCTAAATTCATTCACTTAATAGCAACAATTAGGGAAATGTTGACAGTGCCTTAGATTTATATTCAAGTTAAATATGAAATTATTGTATTTATTCCTTCCAGATAAATTTGGACTGCACTTACCCTTTGGTAAATTATTTATTCTAAGTCCACATATTGTTAGTGCCTAGTGTAGTCAGTCAAATACTTATTGCAGCTGTTGTATATGAAATTATGTCGGTTATTGGCATTGGCTTCTGTTGCCAAGTTCAGAACAAAAAGGGAAAGGCATACCATGTACCCACACAAGCATACAATTGTACAATGCTAAAATATATAGTATTAAGTAAAAACAACAGCGGTTAAATCAATAGAACTGCTGGGCTATAATTAAAAAATCGATTCTGTAGAACTTTATACTTATGATTTTTATATTGCAAATGCTTTAAAAGATTTAAGGTTTCCGATTAAAACGAGTTGTATAACTTGAATTAATCATGATATGCGGAAGAATTTCCCATGTAATTCCTACAAAAATTGCTGTGCTATAAAATTACCAAATTTTAAATATGAGATAATTTACAATTATAAAATTGCTATTATTTTTACCGCAACTATAAGAGACAACTTTGAAATTAGGTGACTATTTGAATGCAGAGAATCGAATTAGGTCTCCTCGGGCAATTAGGAAGCCTCGCATTACAGTAAGTGATCCAATTGTGGTTGGTATAATTAGCCCAATTGTGGAACACCCGGTACGTGGACACCCATTTGAGAACGCCACCGGCGCGTGCTCGATGTAAATACTATAGAAGTAATACTGAGTATATAATCCAATGTGTTTCCTCATGGTCGTTTTCCTTTTTTTTTTGCCATTGTTCCAGGGAGGGCAACCACCCCGACGATTATTCCCGTGGCCTCACCTATCGCAAGTTGCTGGAGGAGGTGTGCCGCTTCGCCAATGTGCTGAAGGACCATGGAATCCGCAAGGGCGACCGTGTGTCCATCTACATGCCGATGATTCTGGAGCTGCCCATCGCGATGTTGGCCTGTGCCCGCATTGGTGCAGTGCACTCGATCGTTTTCGCCGGATTCTCGCCGGATTCCCTGTCGGAGCGGATGTTCGACTGCAAGGCTAAGCTGCTGATTACGGCCGATGGAGCCTGGCGTGGCGAGAAGCCTCTGTACCTGAAGGCCCTGTGCGACACGGCCTTGGAGAAGGTCGAGGAGATGGGGCACTCGGTGGAGAAGTGCATAGTTGTGTCGCATTTGAAGCGCGTGACTCCCTGCCAGCCTGACCATGTCGAGGAGGAGATCCCATGGACCGACGACCGGGATTACTGGTGGCACGAGGAGATGGAGGACAAGGAGCCAGCCTGCTATCCCGAGTGGATGGATGCCGAGGATCCGCTGTTCATGCTCTACACCAGTGGTTCCACTGGCAAGCCCAAGGGCGTGCTCCACACCACCGCCGGATATCTGCTGTATGCGGCCACCACCTTCAAGATCGTCTTTGACTACAAGCCAGGTGACATTTACTGGTGCACCGCCGATGTGGGCTGGATCACGGGACACACCTACGTGGTGTACGGACCACTGGCCAATGGCGCCACTTCAGTGATTGTAAGTGTCTGATTAGATCAAACAAAAAATGGATTTATGACTAATTGTCTTTAATACTTCTTCTAGTTTGAGGGCACCCCATTCTTTCCTGGAAACGATCGGTACTGGAGTGTCATTGACAAATATAGGGTCACCCAGTTCTACACAGCTCCCACGGCCATCCGTGCCCTCATGAAGTACGGCGAGGGACCCGTGCTCAAGCACAACCTGAGCGGACTCAAGTAGGTGTCTTATAATAATGAGTAATAGTTAGTCATACATAATAGTTTATTGTCAAACGCCTTTAGATCTGATTGAACCTCAGAAAATAAGTTTCATCAAAACGTTACTTTCCAATTTCAATCTTACTGAGAGTTAGTCTTTTTCTTTTTTTTAAGGCTAGAACTAAACGTGTTAGTCATCTAAAAAAGTTTAGATTTTAATTTGGAATGTGAAAAAACATAGATCCTTTCTATAATATGTTACTTATAATATGATCTCTATTTTCTTACAGAGTTTTGGGCAGCGTAGGCGAGCCCATCAATCCGGAGGCCTGGCTGTGGTACTATCGCTACATTGGAAAGGAGAAGTGCTCTATTGTGGATACCTTCTGGCAAACGGAAACCGGGGGTCATGTCATCACACCCCTGCCCGGAGCCACTCCCATGAAGCCCGGATCAGCTGTAAGTATACAAATCCAATCTAAAAACTAAACCAAAATTATAATTTTCCATATTTGTTTAGTCATTCCCCTTCTTTGGCGTCAAGCCCACTTTGCTGGATGAGTGCGGTATCGAAATTAAGGGAGAGGGCGAGGGATACTTGGTCTTCTCTCAACCTTGGCCTGGAATGATGCGCACCTTGTATAACAACCATGAACGCTTTGAGGACACCTATTTCTCGAAGTTCCCTGGCTTCTACTGCACTGGCGATGGTGAGTTTGGAAATATTCTACCTATTATTATTGAACTTTAAATTGGGAAGACCTTGTTGCTAACTCTTTGATTTACTATTTGTCCAACAGGTGCCCGTCGCGATGCTGATGGATACCTGTGGATCACTGGCCGTGTGGACGACATGTTGAACGTGTCCGGACATCTGATGTCCACCGCCGAGGTGGAGTCGGTCCTAACGGAGCATCCTCGTGTGGCTGAGTCCGCCGTGGTCTCCCGTCCGCATCCCGTCAAGGGCGAGTGCCTCTACTGCTTCATCACACCCAACGAGAACGAGGTGTTTGACCAGAAGCTGATTTCCGACCTTAAGAAGATGGTGCGTGAGCGAATCGGACCCTTTGCCATGCCGGATGTCATCCAGAATGCTCCCGGATTGCCCAAAACGCGCTCCGGCAAAATCATGCGCCGTGTGCTGCGCAAGATCGCTGTTAACGATCGCAATGTGGGCGACACCTCAACCCTTGCCGACGAGCAAATTGTGGAGCAACTCTTCGCCAACCGGCCAGTGGAGGCCAAGTAGATGGTAGCAGATGGTCCAACTGGCAGCGGCTAGAATCCCTTTCCCAAGGCTTTCTCCGGTTTGCACTGAGCACCCCACTCTGCCACCGCAATTCTACCACTTACGTATCCCGATTACGTGTCCTGTAAATCTCCCCCTACATATATGAAATACCTATTGCTTAATGTTGGTCCCGTTCCGGGCTACGGCGTGGTTAGCACCTTTTGAATTCTACCTAGTTCGTAAGCCTAAGCGTGTGCGTAAGTAAGTCGACTGGTTTTCGATCCCAGTTACTATCGTCTATATCTTCTTGTGTATTTGCCTGTTCACCGTAGTTAACATGCTCAGCACGCACACATTTTCCAGTTCTTTTGTTTCTTCGTTGTAGTCGTAGTTTAAGTTCTCGCTAATTCGTTGTGATACAAATTTAATTATATCTTACTTATGTATGTATTTTTAGTAGAATTGATATGAGACAAAATATATACACGATTCCAGTTGTAGCCACAATTACACCGTTCACACTTTTCAGTTGTATCCTTATGTTTTGTAGTCTCTCTTCACGCACCTTTTCAGATCTGAGAGGACACGCACGTAAGTCCGGAACCGATCGGGGAAATCGGTTTCTTTCCCCTCCCATTAGCGCGTAAGTTTGAGAACGATACATATCAGTGTGGCATTATGCTCAACACATTCCTACATACGATCTACATGTTAAAGAGAACCGCTCGGATATACTATATACTATATACACCATATATACGTTATACGGTCAGAAGACTTACTGCAACGAAACATATCATTGAAGTTACTGCTGCAAGCCTATGAATATTATAGAGGATTTTATTGTTAGAGCTCGTTATTTTTGGGAGATCGATCTAGACATATTCGATATTATGGATTGGCTGATAAGGGGGCACGGTGCCCAGTCTGATTGTAAAAAGATTGTTTGTTTTACAGTGATGGCGAACGGAAGAATGCAATTTACATATCTATATATATATTTCTGTATATGAACGTATGTGTATAATAAAGTTTATTGTTTTAATGTGTTTGAACCTGCAAATCCCAAAGAGATCGTTTTAGTTTTGAGGTATTAAATCTTACAGTAAAACAAGAAAGGAAGCTAACTTTGGGAAGCCGAAGTTTATATACCCTTGCATTTTAAGATTTAAAGTATATCCTAAGATCACACTGGCCATGCTGTAAACTTCTGGCTGGGGCAGTCAATTCTCAACCTTTGACAAACCAGCTTAGTTGATTTTCGGCTAGGCCTTTCAACACCTTGGTGGCAGTGGGAGAACTAAGGACGATCTCCATCAAAATGGCCGACGAACAGCATCCGCCCAAAAAGGAGCCGGGCCAGGATGAGGTCCAGGAGAGGAACGCTGCCACGCGATTCGGGTTAGAGGACCACGAGGCCACTCAGCAGGATGCCCGGGTGACCACACTGCGACATGCCGAGGAGCGACGTGGCTCCATGGCGCCGCCCCACGATAAGCGCTCGATTTCCGCTAAGGTATCGCAAACGCGGTTGGCGGCCGAAAATGACCCAAATCGAACCAATGCTCCCGTTGGTCCCAAACCCGCTCCGGCACCGGTCAGGCCTTCGGATGACATTTCCTCCCGTAACTCCTTGGTTCAAGGTGCCGCTGTGGCTCCAGATCTTCCACCAAAACCACAGCGCAGCTCGGACGCCGACGCCGATGGCGAATCCTCTGAAGTGGACAAGAAAACGGCAAAAAGAAAGTCGGAGAAAAGGGTATCACCATCATCATCCTCCTCGGAGGAGCAGGTGAAGAAGGAAGAAGCGAAACCCGCGCCACCTCCACCACAAGCTCAACAGCAGCGGAAATCCATAGATTTCGCAGAGACAGAAGCTGCTCCCATTCCTCCGCCAGCGGAGAGGCAGGAGGATGTGCCCATGCCGCCGCCGATGATGTCGTCCTTGCCGACAGATGATAGCAAGGAAGATGTGCAGAGCTTGAACAGCAAGTTGACCAACACGGACATCACCTTCCATCCATCGAAGGTGTTCGCCTCCAAGGGAACCAACACATCCGGCATGCTCTACTCGGATGAAGAGGAGGAGCAGGAGGAAGAGGATCTTCCCAAGGTGCCGGCCGAGTTCCCCGACAGTGATCTGGACACTCTGTTCCTGCTGGCCTGTCGCGAGGTGAAGAAGGCTGGCACCATTGCCCTGGCGGAGAACGAAAAGCAGCAGGAGTACACCACCAAGAAGCACACCAACGACCTGGTCACTCCCACTGACAACATAGTCGAGGAGACCTTCATCAAGGCCATCAGTTCGCGGTATCCCGACCACAAGTAAGTTGGGGTTACTTATAGGAAATTGTTCTCGAAGTCTTATTAATTAAAAAAATCCATATTTTATTGGTGGTAAAACTTAAGATGACTAAAAGGAGGTAACCTTTTTCTAAATATTTTTCCATTTCCCTTGCAGTTTCATTGCCGAAGAGCGAACTTCAAAGTCGGAGACCGGAATGGTGACCCTGACAGATGACCCAACCTGGATAATCGACCCCATCGATGGCACCATGAACTATGTCCACCACTTTCCGTACTACTGCATATCGGTGGCCTATTTGGTGAACCAGGAGACTCAGTTTGGTATCATCTACAATCCGCCAATGAAGAACATGTATACAGCTCAGAAGGGAAAGGGGGCTCAACTGAATGGCGAGATGATCAGGACGTCTGGACAGATCGACCTCTCCTCGGCCATGGTCCTGCAGGAGTACAGTTCGGGCGGCAATGAGACGCGCAACCAGGTGGCCCATGAGAATGCCCACCGGCTGTTGAAAAGAGCCCACGCGTGAGTATATGGTACACTTCAAGGGAACATAATGACCCTACAAACTGATCCTATTCCAGGATGCGTTCGATTGGATCTTCCGCCATGGGTTTAGCCATGGTGGCATCTGGAGTGGCGGATGCCTATTACAATTTCGGACTGCACGTTTGGGACATGGCCGCTGGAGCTATTATAGTCACCGAGGCGGGCGGAGTGGCTATGGATCCGGCTGGAGTCGAACTGGACATCATGTCCCGAAGATGCCTGGCCGCCTCCACCGAGCACCTTGCCTTGGAGTTGGGCAGCAACCTGGAGCAGAATTATCCTTCGCCACGCGACGACGAACCGCGATCCGTAAATCCCAATGAATACGGACCCGCTGCGGAGACCAGGGACTTCACCGGCCAGACGGATTTCCCCGATTCGGAGACCCCGGACACCACGGACACCGAACAGTCCAACGAGAAGCCAGCGGCGACTGCCAACTGACCACCAGGAAGGCCAGCTGAAATTCATTTTAGTTATTTAATAAATTGACCATGCAAGGGGACAGTAATTTTAAATCAATTTGGGTTTTGTTTGGGTCTTACATTTCAGATTTTAGGTCACCTCTTTCTTTTACTTCAAAGGCATATCGCTTTACCTATTTATTTGTTGTAGCATATTTGAATACCTACTTATATCATTATGATTTCCAATTCGTATTTGGTCTTTTCAAAAATAGTCTTTTCTTCGGTTTATGGAAGTCATTTGATGCAAGCTCCACATACGTAAGTTATGGATATCAAACGAATTCTTTATATTTGAATTTCCATTAAACCCCCTAAAATTTGTATAACGGTTCGTGTCCCCGATATATAAGTAAAGTTCTTTACCATGTACAGAATTATTTCTTAGATGATTTTAATAGTAAGAATTCTAAATTAAGGACCTGTAAATCCAAATCGCTCCATATAAATTTTACCTTTCCTTATCAAAATTTAAATATAAATTTAAATGGTATATGAGGAAACCTGTTGCCTCTAGCCACATCCAATCAGAGAATTATTCTGGTATTTTATTTGTATTTTCCCTGAGCTTATTGGAACAATTTAACGGTCGCGAGCCTCGGTCACTTTGGTGATAATAGTATAATTAAATTAAAACTTGATACTTTTGGATTTGTTAGCGGTTCATTGCAAATCCAGAAATCGCTTAGAAAACATCACTGCGAAATGGGTGACAATGTGGACCTGGAGAAGTGCTTTGAGGTGGTCAGCAATCTGGTCTCCGAGGCTGGCAGGGTAATTAGATAAAGTGGAAAAACACTCAAGTGCTGCAGAGGCTAATGGAATTTTCCTTTTCCCTGGTAATTTTCCCAGCTAATCGCTCGCAACAATGAGACGCGACAGGAATTCGTGACCAAGAGCAACGACATTGACCTGGTGACCCAGACGGACAAGGATGTGGAGCAGCTGCTGATGGACGGCATTCGCCGGCACTTTCCGGATCACAAGTAGGATTCATAGAAATTTTCCAGGGAACTGTTTTGAACTTTTTGTTTTCAGGTTCATTGGCGAGGAAGAAAGCAGCGGGGAGGAGGGCGTCAAAAAGCTGACCAATGACCCCACCTGGATCATCGATCCTGTAGATGGAACTATGAACTTTGTCCACGCCTTCCCCCACTCCTGCATATCCGTGGGTCTGAAGGTGAACAAGGTCACCGAGTTGGGCTTGGTCTACAATCCCATCTTGGAGCAGCGCTTCACTGCGAGACGAGGACATGGAGCCTTCTACAACGGGCGGAGGATCCGTGTGAGTGATCAGCAGGAACTGAGCAAAGCTCTGATCACCAGTGAGTTCGGAACCACCCGGGATGAGGAAAAGATGAAGGTCGTCAACGAGAACTTCGAGAAGATGGCCAAAAGGGCGCATGGGTGAGTCATCAACTTTTGCAGGAGGAATGTACTATAGTGGTTCAAAATATATTTTTTTTATGATTAACATATTTTCCTTTCAGTATAAAAAAATCTAGCTAAAATTTCTTATGATCTGAAAAGTCACTAAGGTGATTCTTTGAAGCTCCTTATCCTTATATGATCCATATACCTACATTATCTTTATTCCTATATTGTTGTTTTAATATTATTATTCAGTATCTAAATATTTTGATCTATTTCAGTTTACGCGTCCTGGGTTCGGCAGCCCTCAATATGTCGATGGTTGCTCTGGGAGCCGTCGATGCCAACTATGAGTTTGGCATCCATGCTTGGGATGTGTGTGCCGGGGATTTGATTGTCCGTGAGGCCGGAGGAGTGGTAATCGATCCCGCTGGCGGGGACTTCGACATTATGTCGCGAAGGGTCCTGGCAGCAGCCACTCCCCAGTTGGCGCAGGAAATAACCAAGGTGCTAACGCAGTTCTATCCATTACCTCGCGATGACTAAGCTTACAAAATCCTTAAGTAATGGCATTTAATGTACCTTTAACGACTTATAAAATGGAACTATGTAACTCCATTCCGACCTAACCATATAAAAGCATTTCATATAACCGACCATGTACCTAAAAAACAAAAAGAATACGCCTAGTCATGGATATTGATGTCATCAATTGATGTAAGCAAATAAAGGATTTTATCTGTTTTTATGTATAAAACATCTCACCAAAAGGTTTTGTCAAAACAAAATTATCAGATAACTGCATTACTGGCGAAATAGTTTCCTACCCCCTGATAAACCTTCATATTTTTCCAGTTCTTTATCAAATCATTCAAAGACGTTTGTTTGTTTGTTTTTATGTAATTTTATTACAATCTGCGTATGTATTTCGCTTTCTAATTAGTTTTCGCAGTGTTCTTATCGTCTTTTGTTTATTTGTTATATTTTGTTTTCCGGCTTAGTGTTATGTATATGGGTTTTGTGTCTATTTCATAGTAAGTTAGTAAAGCGAGCAGGCCTCATATCTGATGCTTGTGAATGCCCTGCACTGTGAAACGGAGTGAATGGGGTTGGATTAACCACAGACCACAGGCCATCTATCGGGGGATCTACGGGAAATAGACCTTCTTATAGATAGTGCAGGGCATTGCAAGGTCGAAACTACCGACTCATCTGCGTGTTTTGTTCGGGTATGGATCAATCAGTAAACAGCTAAGCAATGTCTTGCATATTGATATACGATTATTCTATATATCTGGTTGGATCTTTGCACTGTATTCGAGTAGAGCGATTAGTGGACATGTAACAAGCCATGATCGTAGGAAGTCGGCCTCCTTAATGCGCTGTAACTTTTGCATCTGTAGTTGCTGAGTATTTTGGACTATCGGTAATACCATTTAAAATTTGACACATCATTGAAAAATGTAATCAAAGCTACAGTAGGTAAAAAATTGTATCTATATATTTATTACATATCTGTATATAATAGTTAGGTATAAGTTAATAATGTAATTAAAAATCTGTTGATCTTTTCGTCGTTTTTAATGCTACATTCACAAGGTTCCATTATGCGCACTGGTTTACAAAATTAACACAGAGATTTGTTGGGTTTGTGCTAGGATCGAAAATATATAGTGGTGAGGGGGCGCTTTGAGGATCGGATCGGGATAAAGAATTGCTAGCGATGTAAGTTGCGTGTCTTCTAAGATATTGCGAATCGTAGTCTATAAATTTATGTATATAGATCTATATTGATTTCGATATTCTAGTTCAATAAGCGAAAGGTACACATGGAGCATAAAACGGCAGCCACAGCTGCCTCTACATTTAATATTTTCCTTTGTCACACTAATAAAATTTACAAAATTTTCTATATAAATTCAACAATCAATGAAGAGCTTTAGAGAAGAATCCTTTTGATTTTTACATGCACGTATTTGATATATAGATAGGTTTAAATATATAGGTATATATATATTTTGTTCGTCTGTCTGTTGGTTTTCCTCGCTTGTTTCCATGTAAACTTAACACACAAATTTAGCACCAATCTATTCAAAAATTGATCAAACAATTTGATTGTTCCGAGTTATACAAATGAAGCCTTAAAGCACTTAACTTAGATGGTCTCTAACCCAAGGATCTTAATCGTAAGATGTCAAAAGTCTGATCTTAAGTGAGAAACTGAACACTTTGAATGGAGGTGGTTGTCGCCGAAGGTCTGGGTAGGATCATCGGGTAACTCAGTGGGGTGAGGGCTTTAAAATAATCAAGTCGCATCGAGTTAATGGTAAAAATTAATTTAAATTTATTTACACGCAGATACAATAAACGCATCGATCTTCAATTCGAAATGATTTAAACTAGGCATAGATTTATCATTTATCATTTTGAATATGTATATTTTTTTATCGTATGGGATATCCATCTTGTTGCAAGCAAACGATGTGGGTCTCTCTTTTTTGCTTTTCGACTACGCTAAATCCGTATCTCTAGATGTAACGTACACATATATCCGATATCGTTTAAAGTAGTTAATATTATTTAAAAAAACCAGTATTTATCGAACTTTAACGCTCGCTCTTCAGTCGAGTTCTAAATAGATGCCTTGGATAGCTGGCCAATGGTGAATTTTCTTTTTAAATTTTGATTGGGTGTGCGGGGATGAAGTGATGTGGTGTTCGGAGTGGAGCTTGATGAGTCAACAATGAAATAAATAATTTATGTTTGCGCATGGATATGTTCAGCGGGGAGTCCTGGTCGCTCTAACACTGCTAGTAATATGCATATAGGCTTAGTGAACTATCTCCAGTAATGCTGAGTAGACGTGTAACTGATCTCCGGCCCTCCCAATTCTCTCTTTAGCTATATATATAGCTACGTTGCTTAAGCCTACAAGTGGTAGAATATTTTTTGTTGCGGTTTGCTTTGCACGGCCCTGGAATCTCGCGGGGATCCATCCATCCATCCATCCTACAGCTCGTCATCGGCCTTGGGGATGTCGAAGATCTCGGCGAAGAGGGGCGGCAGGCGCAGCTTGGTCCAGTTCATCCGCAGCCAGTCTAGGTGTGAGAAGTGCTTGGCCCCCAGGGACCTCAGCTCGGGTATCTTGGCCTCCAGCGCCGGCATCAGTTGCAGTGCCTGCGGAGATCCTGCCCGGGATCGCAGGATCTGGACACGCAGGGCCTCGGCCACCAGTTCCCGGGCCCTTCCGATCACCTTGGGCTCGCTGAGGCCGGCACGATCGGAGGCCAGCAGCACCATGGCCGAGAAGAGTCCAATCTCCGTGTCACTCAGCCCATAGGCGTTCAGTGTGTTGGCAAAGTTCAGCAAGGCGTTGACAAAGTCAGACTGCAAAAGAAAGTATATATAAGAAAGTGTAACAAAATATGTAAATAGTCACTCTATCTTCGTCTGTTTGAGTTATATAATCTTGAATTTTGGTAGATGACCTTGCTTTAACAATAAAGTGAAAGCCAAGAAAGGAATTTCCAATCCAACCGCTAGAAACTCGAATTCCCTTCTATCATTACGTATACGTAATTTCCTGATGAACTAATTTAGCTACTAACATCGTAGAGTATCTCGAGCTGCTGGCGCGTCAGGTAGGCTCCGTCGTCCAGGGTCAGTGTCGCCTCATTGATCAGCCGGGCCACGTGCGTCAACCAGACCTCGAAGAAGCCCAGCTTGATGAGTATGAGCTGGTCGTCTTGGGTGAAATCACAGAAGCCAGGTACGCGTTTCGCAAACTCCACAATCCGCTGCACGCCGGGCGTCACCCTGGCGGAGAACTGCTGCCATAGCCAGATCTTCTGGAACTCCAGGCTCTCCGCCACTGTGCTGGCAATCTGTGGGAGGGAAAATATTAATAACATTTTTTCCAATTGAAACCACCTATAAACCCCATTTCGGGTTCCCTAACTTATGGATTTTAGGATTACAAGTAAAAATTTTATGTATTTTTGGGCATAATTGAAGTTATATATCCAAACGTTTAGTATTATTAGGTATGGACATAAGGAACAAATATGAAAAAACTACTACTTTCAATATTTTCCGATTCTGAAAGATCGTTTCTAAACGTTACCCCATTTTGTGGCACCGTCACGGGGCGGCGCATGAGCTCCCTGGTCAGTTCCTCCGTGTAGGAGCAGTTGAGGCGGTGCGCCTGCGACACGCACATGATGACATCGTAGACGGTCAGCTCGTTGGCCGTGCCGGCCAGTCCGTCGTGGCACATTCCCACCTGGTGGTGGCTCCCGCCCAGGTCCGTGCCCATGCCCACGCCCACGCCCACCAGCTGCTGGTGTCCGCCCACAACGACAACGCCGACGCTTACGCCGCTGCCGCCGCTGGCATTCCCGCTGCCACTGTTATTGTTGTTGTTATTGTTATTGGCACTATTGCAACCGCCCAGCTCCGATGGCGAGGAGGCGATCGAACACATTTGTGGCGTTTGTGGAGTACTCGGTGTCTTCACTCGGACGCCGCTGACATGCGGTTGCTGTTGGAGTTGCTGGTGTTGCTGTTGGTGTTGCTGCTGCTGCTGTTGCAGGAGATGTTGCTGCTGTTGCTGCTGCTGCTGCTGCTGTAGCGGATTTGGGTGCAGAGTGCTGCTGGTTGACTCATCCACATTTAGGGAGGAGGGAGCGCCTGCGGCGGCGGAGGCGGCGGCTGCTCCGTTCAGCTCACGGGAACGCTTGGGAACGCGACCATAACGTACAGCTGAAAGGGTGGAAAAGTGGGTGGAAACGGGTTAATTAGTTACTTAGTTAATTGCAGTCCAACAAGCCAAACACCCCTGCAATAAGTTGCATATTTCATGAGGCAAGCTGGGGTATTTAAGTGTAGTTTTAAATACTTTCCTATTGATATTGGAAATTTGGAGGGGAATATTTTAAGTATTTTAAGTAGATTACTTTAAAATCGAATATCTAATGGAGTATTACTGATATAAATATGAATATATTGGCAGACGTTCCTTATAAATAATATTAAAAACATTTAAATATACCATTGCTCTAAGTACATTTTATACATAAATTCATTTTAAATTTAATCTTCAGTTGCAAAGTTACTGCTTAATTAGTAATATTTTTTAACATTGCATTTTTTAAATAATTAACTGTCCACAATGATATATTTTTGAGTAATTGAAAACCGTGTACTTTTTAATGCACTTACCCCAAAAGTATGCAACGAAAAAGCTCATTTAAATTTTACATTACCTTTTAATTTTCCCACAGAAAACTGATGCGCATTGTTTGGCCAATAAAATAGTGCGTATTTTCTTGATAGTTTGTATCTTATTAGTCAGCTGACTATTTAAATTCGAATATTCGTTCCCTACAAAACACACAATTAACATATCTTAACAGCCACTGATGATGATATATACTTTGTATTTAGTTCGAAGAAATGAAAAACTGGCACACGCATAAATCTTACAAGTGCGTCACACACTTGTGGATACTTTCGAGCATCTGAATATCTATCTAGCAAATTGCCAACATTTCTGTGCTATCAACTAGAAAATTTGCCTGTCCTACAAGTTGTCGGTCTGTCGAAATGCGATACATTCTGTCGGTGGAAAATAATTAATTTCAATTCTCGTTCGCGTTCATCGTTTGAAGTGTTCATTAGCCGGTCAGGCAGGCAGTTTTTCGGCATTTCTCGGTTTTGTTTGCCAGCGAAAATTGCACAATGTGAAATGGGCTTGCTTTGTGCAACCGAAGACAACACATATTTTATTAATTAAAATCGCATTTGGCTGCCCAAAAAACCAGCAGACAGACGGGGTAAAAAAAAAGAGATACAAACGCAGCTGCTCCAGTTGCCGGCTTTTGGCTTTCGGTTTTCAGTCTTCAGTTTTCAGTTTTCAGTGCTCACTTTATCAGTGGGACATTGACCCACTGCGCTCAATATGAAAACGGAGGCAAGTGATTTCGTTGCCGCTGTTTTTGTTTTTCCTCTCGCCTTATATGAGTTTATGTGCGGCTATTTCTTCGGCTTTGTCGACTTGTCTGCTGTGTTTTCTTGTTAATGTGTTGTTATTGTGGTCTGGCGGTAGCCGCCGCCGGCGGTTTCCAAACAAACACTAATGACGAAAGACCCAGTGCTCTTACTATGCGTCAGCATTTCGGCCCGGCAACATCGAATGAAATACCATAAAATACGGCAAAAGCAGGGGCAAAGGCGGTGGTGAAAGAAACTTCGCATGCATTGCGCATACGCAGCGTGGACGGGCAGAATCCGGAAAAACTCTGCGGCACGCAAAGCATCGCCAGCGAAGGAAGGCCCAAAAGCAATCTGGCCGAGTGAAAGATGGCCAACACACTGACCCATTTATGGCACACCGAAACATGGCATCTGTGTGATGTTGTCGGGGGTCGAAAAGGTCGTTTGCTCTGCACAAGAAGAAATATATGAGCCTAACAGCAACATAAATTGTATCCATAAATATAATCCAATGGGAGGTCCAAAAAAGGTGTGAAAGTTGAACACAAATATGACTATATTTGATTTTCGAACATTCGATAATAAACACAAATCTCAAGTTTATGTATTTTTTGTTAAAATATGTGTTATTTTGTTATTTATTATTTTATCATACCCAGTTAATATTCTTAAAAAATCCTAGATCACTATTAAGTGGAATATTTCTTCACACCTTTGAATTCTTCATTTTATTAACAACCTTGCTGGTCTTTTCTCCTCCTCCTTATGTTTAAATTTTGGGAAACTGCTAAATATTCTTCAAAACTTTTGATTACCTTAAAACAATTTTTAAATAATTTTTTATATAGACATTAAAATGGTTTATTTCCATATTAACCAACCATTTGATAAAGTATAGTTTATAAAGTAAAATATATATATTTTTCTCATTTATTAGGCTTTATCTTTATATCATTATCAGAATATTTATTATCAGTATGGTTTTATTTATGATTTATTTAAAAGTCACGCTGATCTAATTTGATAAGGTAAACACCCCAAATGGATGACCTATTTCAGTGATAGTTTTAACAGCTTTGGCAGACCCTGAGCCGGAGCTTCCCTGACCTTAGTTTGGCGGCAATATGATCCCATTACGACCGCAGCCAGACGAGGTTTCGGTTCCAGCCTTGTCACGCTCGTAACTCTGGGCTCGCTAGGTTCTCATTGTGCTCGAGTCACGCTTTTCACCGCCCACCGAAGAGCGTTGATCATAAATCGTCTCGTTGGCGTTAATTGTCACAGCTCGTAAATTAAATATGCCATAATTCGCCACACACAGCAGCACCCCCATAAAATCGTCTATAACACTTGGACATTGGGCTTTTGGGGCTGCTTCATGCATGTGCCACCTTCGATATGCCGCTAATTGCTCATGGCGGGCACTCGGCGTTCTTGCTCTGTTTGTTCTAAGGTGTTTTCAATTAGCGACCGAGGGCCCCGTCTTATTGATTTTGCAGATTTCACCACAAGTGGAGCAGATCGAAGGCTGCTTCAGCCACCGAGTGTCCGCAATGGAACTGGAGTGTCTATCATTGCGGAATCGGGAGCACACAGGTCCACCACATAATCCCCATCATTACTTATTCAATCGACCTGGCACCGGGACCCTCTCGCCTCTCGCTTGTCACCTGTCACCACCCACGGAGCGGTTCCCATTCGGACCAGGTCAACACCAGCCAGCCAGCCAGCCATCCATTACACATGCTCCGGGCCACGTTGGGGAGCCCAAGCCCACATAAATAAGCGGAGCGTTGCTGGCCTAAGCTCAAACTTTTTTCCCAGCTAAAAGCATCTTAAGTGATTTAGTGCAGTCGAATGAAGAGCATCATGGAAGGGGGAAATGGGGAGCAGAGGAGCGAGGAGGGGCGGAAAAACTCGTTTAGGCCAGATTCACAGGCTGAAAAGCACTGGGAAAAATATTCGAAGCAATTGAATAAGTCTGAACGGTTTAAAGGTTTTTTAAATATAGTACAAGGGAGCTCTTAAAAATATAAAAAGAATTTACAAGAACACAATTTCATAAGAATTAACAACATAGTATACAGGTTTTAAACTTTTTTGAAGAAATTCTGAAATCACTTTAAATACTTTAAAGATATAAAAAACAAATTATGTTCTTATATTAGCTTTTAAAAACCCTTTAAAAATATTCTTCTAATATCTCCCACTAAAAACAAACCATTTCCTAAATTGGGTCGAGAACTCCCACCTTTTTTTTGAGTGCACAAAGTTAGGGAAGGGGTTTCTCGCTAAGCTGAGCTCCCACTTCTGGCAGGGAAAAAAAGGATTTAGGTCACCGAAATCTGAGGCAGCAGAAGTGCGAGCAGCAGTAGCATCGCCCCGTAAAGTGGCCAAATGTTGCCCACATTTAGCTGGATTTTTGTGCCCCAACTTTGGGTCGTACCGTACTCTTTCGTCGCATTTCGGAGCGAACCGGGCCATTAGCATGCGAAGAGGGCCAAAATGCCAAAATGCCAACTGCCAGCAGGCAGAGGCAAAGGCAACATCCAACTGCCAAAGCTCCGTGCCGTAGTAACACATGCACAGACACGGATGTATGCATTATATATAGTTGATATTTTTTTCGGCTTTATCGTGCGCATGAATGGCCTCCCCCTGCCCCCTGCCCCCTTCTAGCCACAGCCCCAACCCCCCCGGCCGCCCAACCGGTGACCTCGTTTGAGGTCGTTCGTTCACCTGTCGCTGCTGGCTGCACTTTATGCACTCTACATTTGCATGACTGCCCGATATGTGTGTGTTTACCCAGTTACGAAATTGTCCAAAATGCTGCGGCTTACTGCCGGGTGAAAGTTGGATGTTTGTTTGCAGAGCCGCTGGGAGAAGTTGGTTAAGATTACTATTTAAATGCCCTAACAGCTTTTTAAAAAATACGTAAATTTAAGTATAAAATTGTTAATAAAATTGTTAAACTATCTACACATAAATTAAGCAAAATATAGTTTAAAAAGGTATACCTTCTTAGCAAAACCAACACCACGTTCCATAAATTAAAAAAAAAAGTTATACTATTAAATAATATTTTAAATAGTAAATACTTTTTCATAAATGAATGAACTTTGGTATTGGGCTTTCTAAGAAGTTATTAAACGTTTCTAAATTATTTTATAAGCACCATGATTTTTCAATAAATGTATGGAATTGGTAAAGAGCTAGTTAAAAAGATATTACATCTTTCTAAAGAATTTAATATATTATTTTGGGTAAGGGTATATGTTAAATTTATATAAACAACATTTTATATTAGCACACCGTTTATACCATTAAAAAATAAATGAAATTAGAGCTTTTCTCATATACCATCTTGTATCATACCATTTTCCATATTAGATTTAAAATTCTTAGTGACTCCTGTTGACTTACCTAAGCTAATGGACCCCACTGAAGCTATCGAAATTAAACTCCAATTTTCCCGGAATTAAGGTGGAAAAGTGTGTGCACTTTTCGTTGCGTGTAGAAAACTAAACATTACTTTGGAAGCTTCTTTTGTTTGTTTTCATATGCACCTGGGTGTGCCAGTCAGCGAGTGTCGCTCTATCTGGAACAGCTAAAATTGTTAGTTGCGTGCTAAATTTGTTGCTTTTTTCTTCTTTTTTTTTGCCAGCGGTAGCGGCAGCAACAACAATTCGCACGCAGCCACCGCCCACACGCCCCAGGCAACAACAGCAACAACAACAACAACATAAGCGGTAGCAACAACAACCGAA